AAGAAGGCCAGGTGCAGTGGCACACACCTGGAATCCCAGAGGCTTGGGAGGCTGAGGCAGGAGGATTATGAGTTCAAAAATCAACCTCAGCAACTGAGTGAGGTATTAAGCAACTCAGAGAGACTCTGTCTCTACCTAAAATACAAAAAGGCTGGGGATATGGTTCAGTGGTTAAGTGCCCCTCAGTTCAATCCTTGGTACCAAAATAATAATAATAAAAAAGATGATATTTTATAACACATGAAAGTTATGTGAATCCAGACCCAGTGGTGCACACCTGTAATCCCTGCTACTCAGGAGGCTGAGGCAGGAGGATTGCAAGTTCAAAGCCAGCCTCCTCAGCAATTTAGTGAGGTCCTAAGCAACTTAGAGAGACCCTATCTCAAAATGAAAAATATAAAAGAAAAAGGGAGAGCTGGGGATGTGACTCAGTGCTTAAGTACCCCAAGATAAAGGAGATTAGGTGGGACTTCTAAGGAGTGGCAAAACACACCCAGGGGAAGCGGTGGCGGGCTCAGCTCTGTGGCGTTTGCTAAAATTCACACAACAGTGCTCTGAAAGGAGGGGAGCCTTCCTGCATGTAAGCCACATGTGCATGAGCCTAAGCCATGACGTGTACAAGCCTGGGGAGGCTGAGGCAAGAGGACAGCCTGAGCCCCAGAGGGCCCGGCCAGCCTGGGCAGCAGAATCAGACCCTCCTCTTCCTTGTTGAAAGTGGCCAGTATAGGACAATGACCCAGAACAAAGGGATGGAGAGAGGAGGACTAGGGGGTGCCAGGTGCATCGGGCTGACCTCCCATGACCCGGGCACAGGACCATGACTGTGGGTGATAGCAAGTAAGTAACTGTGTTTCAGAATGGCTGGGAGAGAAGGTTCAATGCCCCAACACAGAGAGATCAGTAGCCAATTGCCACCACTGAGCAGTGCCCTGTATACAAGTACTGAAATGCCAACTGTGCCCGTGAGCACACATGGACACCACACATTGATTTTAAAAATGCACACAGTCATGTAAAACTAAAAACAAATCAGAAAAACTAATGTGATTGAAACCAAGATACCAGTATCACCAAGTCAGGTACAGAATATTTCTAACAATGTGAAGATCCCTCCTGTTGTCACTTAGCCACGTCCTTCCCCCTTTTCACTAAGGTTTCATAGATCAACTGACACTTTCAATTGCTGAGTCATATTTTGTGGTATGAATGTATCTCAGTTTGTTCAACTTTTTTAAGGCATTTAAAAATCAGTTTTGGACTATTATAAAGAAATTGCTATGAATATTCATGTTCAGTTTTAAAAAATACATTAGGTAAAAACATTTCTTCCAGGGGCTGCGGTTGTAGCTCAGTGACAGAGCACTTGCCTAGCATGTGTGAGGAACTGGGTTCAATCCTTAGCATTACATAAAAATCAACAAATAATGGGCTGGGGATGTGGCTCAAGCAGTAGCGCGCTCACCTGACGGGCTATTTAAAAAAAAAAATCAACAAATAAAATAAAATAAAGGCATTTGGTCCATCTACAACTACAAAAAAAAGTTTCTTTTAAAGCATTTATTTGAATGGGAAATACAGAAATGAAAATTTTAAAAATCATGTTGTACACCTCAAATATATATAATTCGTATTTGTCAATTACATCAACAAGACTGAAAAAAATTTTAAGATGACAACAGAAAGAAATAAAAATTATCTAAGTAGAACAAGAAAAAAGCAAAAGGAAAGAAAAAAGATAGTACAGAGGCAACTAGTAGCTTTGAGTAGTTACATAGTATAAAAAAGAGGTTAAGGACTTGAGATGCTACCTCAGGAACCTCGACTACAGAAGCTCAAAGTATAAGATGACACAGGTGAATGCAGAGACAAGGGACAGGGCCACCACTGGGGCTGTGCCTGTTGGCCCAGTCACTTGGCTGAGGCAGGAGAATCCTAAGTTTGAGGCCAGCCTGGGCTGCTTATGCCAGAGGAAGCAAGGGCCAGCCCCACAGGACAGGGACCCCCAACTAGGCCCAGCCTGTTCTTGCGACTAAAAGGTTCAGGGGTCACTCCAGTTGAACTGGGATGATTGGGCTGTGCAAAATAACCACACAAGAGACTCAAATACCTTTTTCTTTGGGGTCGCTGTGACAGCTCCTCTGACCTTAAGGGTCCATAGGAAGAGAGAGAGAGAAAACACACACACACACACACACACACACACACTGACCACTTTTATTTATTGAGGAGAAGCTATTCAAATGAGGCAAGGGGTCAGGTTTCAGGGGGCTGAGTCTATCTTTATGATGTCCACTGTCAGCAGGTTGACTGACATCTGGGTAGGCCACACCCAAGGGCACAGTAAGAGAAGGGGACACACACAAGGCACTTCCATGGAAGATTCTATCCCAAACAGGGCAAGGGGTTATATTACAAAGTAACAGGTGAGCGTAGCTTCACCCATGGGGCTGTAGCAAGACAAGCTTGGGCAGGAAGACACAAGTCACTTGAACCCTAGAAGAGCTAGGCAGTCTAGCAGCATGGGTGCCTGACACCACATTGCCCAGCAGGGGAGTGTGACTTAGTCACATGCAAGGTTGGTCTCCCACACCAGCCTCCCCAACGAGGCCAGCAAATGCTCATGTAAACATGGCAGGCGGGCTGGGGATGTGGCTCAAGCGGTAGCGCGCTCGCCTGGCATGCGTGCGGCCCAGGTTCGATCCTCAGCACCACATACAACAAAGATATTGTGTCCACCGAGAACTAAAAAAAATATATTAAAAAAATTCTCTCTCACTCTCTCTTTAAAAAAAAATAACAAAAACATGGCAGGCAGTGGCAATGCGCTCCACTGCAGGTGGCCTCAGGCCTGTGACCTCCAGGACTCTGAGTTATGTGCTGTAAGTAGATGTATTTACCGCACATCAATCGTACCGCAGTAAAACTGAACACCCACTGCTAGCGCAGGAGTTGGGGTGTAGCTCAGTGGTAGAGCACTTGCTTAGTATGTAGGAGACCCGGGGTTCAATCCCCAGCACAGCCGGTCTCCAGCCCTGGTGGATGGGTGGTGCGTGGTGACCTCCCCCACCCAGAGCAGCTGGCCTCCTGTGAATCCCTCATTCCCGAGCTGGCTGCCGGCTTGGCCCCCGGGCTACAGCTGGCCTTTCCACTCTTCAGGAAGCAAAATGACTTTGGGGTTGTTTATTCTGCACATTAAACAGATCACCTTCCTCCTCTGGTTGTGGAAACAAAGGCAGAGTCTGACCCTCTGCAGGTCTTCCAGCAGCCAGGACCTGGGTAAACTGTTACTCAGCTTTGCTGGTGAGGGCACCTCTGACGTGCTGGGGTCACCATGGAGGGTGGCAGGCAGCCAGCTCCCTGGCAGGACCCACATTCTTGGAGGCTTCTGCTCTGGCCTCCAAATATTATCTTCAAAACCAGGAAGGCGGCAAGATCCTGCTGGCCTGGGGTTGGGCCTCTGGGGGTCCCTGGCCCACAAGGAACCTTGGGGTTTTCTTTCTTTCCGAGGGAGCTCCCAGGGCACCCAGCCCCTCAGTGGCCATCCCCACCCTCAGGGTTGGCTCCTCGGCCACTTGCTGCTCCCAGCCCCACTGAACTGCACTGAGCACCACCCCCACCCACCCATCTTCTCAGGGCCCCCAGGGTGGCCATGCCGAGGGAGGTGAGAGGCTCCCACTGATGAGAAGCACAGGGGTGCCATTGGAGACAGGGCAGTGGTTCCAGAACCCCCTTATCCTTCTGCTAGCCCTGCAGTCCAGGTGAGGCTCTGAGAGTCTCTGGGCTCCCGTCTCAGCAGAGGGACACCAGGGAAGCTGGGACACCAAGTGGTGCAGCCCAGGCAAGGCCAAGTGGTGCCCCGGTGAGGGAGGCAGACAGAGGGGAGCAGCTTGGACTCCCCACCAGACACCTCTCCCAGAACCTGTGGCCTGCTGGTGGCCCATGTGGCTGGAGCTGCTCTCTCCTCTCCCAGGAATGGGGGCAAGGCCCTCTCGAGCAGGGGGAGGGGGACAAGCCACATGCAGCAGGGACAGCAGCACAACCCCTGCTTCTCCTGGACCTCCCACTGGCCATGCTGCTGCCCCTTTGGTGGCCACCCTCCCAACAGGCATGTGCTGAACCCTGCACCTTGGTCCTGCAGAGCTGCCTTTGCCCCCAGGCCCACCTTTCATCAGGACCGTGGGTGTCTAGGGAGGCAGGACCTACTCAATGTATGCAGAGAGAGAAGCTGAGGAGCGGGGCCCAGGCTTCCTCCTCTGTGCCAGTCTCCCTAGCAGTGACAGCCCCACAGATCCCCACTACCATGCCCACCACACCCCTTTCCAGCATCCATGGGAGTCGACCAAGCAGGGAACCAGCTGCCCCACATTCCACAGTCAGCAACTTGTGCGTGTTCAGAAAGCCCAAGGAGGGGTCGCACACCAGGCCTATCTGCCACTGCCCCTGAAATAGCACCCCAGTCAGCAGCACTCTGGAGGTCGGGGCATGCTGGCTGCCCTGGGACAGCCGCGCCAGTGCCGGGGCTCTTGCCAAGGAGCAGCCACAGCAGGCCTGCTCATTAGCTCTTAATTGTGGCCCGTGCCAGGCCTCCCAGGGCTGTTGCCAGGATTCCACCTGTTGACAAGATGTGGTGTCCCAGAGGGAAGCCACTCTGTGTCGATGGTGCCACTAATGATGCCCTGCCCAACGGCGATTCCCCTTTGCAGACACTTGTCCACGTGTCCTGGGAGGCCGAGCTGCACAGACGCTGGGGGGGAACAGGCGCACATCAGGCAACAGGGGAAAGGGCCCATCCAATGCCACCAGCGCCCCCAGTCTTCCAGATTTTGGGAAGGCGGCTGCCTGGCCCCCTCACGACACACACTATGGAAGGGCCCTCCCATGGAGCCTTCCCACCCTTCTGTCCCAACCACCAGCACAGGGTCTGGGCCCAAGATCTATGTGGAAGGGACAGCAGGGGACAAGTGTGGGGTGTCCCCATAACCACTGGGGACCTGACTCACCCAGAATATCCTCAGCATGAGTCGTGAGGAGATCCCCTCATTGGCCACCATGGGAGTCGGCTCTCTGTCACTTTAACAAAATCTCTGAGATAATCACCTAAAAAGAAAACAGGGACTGTTTTGGCTCACAGTCTTAAACAGTTCAGTCCACATGGCCCTATTGCTGGGGGCCTATGGTGTGTGGCACATTATGGTGGGAGGGCAGTGGACGGAGGCCACAGCTTACATGGCTGCCAGGAAGCAGAGAGAGGAGAAGGAGGCCTCCTCCCACCAGGTCCCACAACCTCCCAGCACCATGGGTTGGGGACTGGGCCTGTGACACATGGCAGACCAACAAAGCAGTCCCCGGCTTGCAAGGCTCCTGGAGCAGCTGGCAGGGAGCTGAGTCCCACAGGCAGGAGCAGCTTCACTGACCCAGACCCTGGAGATGCCTGGTGTCTTGCACAGGTGGCCACCCAGGCGGACACTCACAGCCCCTTTCTCCCTCCTTGCCTGTCCCCTGGGTCCCCAATCCAGCACCTCAGGGCACTCTTGCGGTGCCCCACAAGCTAGGCGGGGAGCTTTCATGGGCTTGGCTGCCTCCTGACCTGCGCAAGGTCTTCTCCTCTCCAAATTTTGGGGGACGGGGACTTCAACAGGGGAGTTCCTATTGAATGCTGGAGAAGGCGGTGCTGAAATTGGACACTGGGAAACCTACTGTTTACTTTGGAAAATACAGCTCCCCTTCTGCCCTTCCTGTCTCCCCTGCCCTGGCCAGCCTTCCCTCGGGGTCTTCTAAGCTGTCACAGAGGGCTAGGGATATGGCTCAGTGGTTAAGTGCCCCTGGGTTCAATCCCCAATACAAAAAAAAAAAAAGAGTAAGCTGTCACAGAGCCATCACCCTGAAAGATACCTGCCGGTCCTTGCCTCCACCCTGAGCCCCAGCTGGCCTAGAGCCCAGGGGTATTGGCTCCAGACCCTCAGGCAGTATCCTCCAGTTCCTCAGGAGCTGGCTGCATGGTAGTGTCCAGGGTGTATCTGCTGGAACCTGTGGGTGTGGGTTAGAAAAAGGGCCCATGCAAACAGGGACCTGAATCCATCTCTGACAGCAGGTGTTCTGATGAGAGAGAGGGGAGACAGAGGAAAGGAGTCATGCAGAGAGGCAGAGAAGGAGCCATGTGGCTACAGCGTGGGACGCCTGGAGCCACCAGAGTGGGGAGAGGCAGGAAAGACCCTCCCTGGAGGTTGCAGAAGACCCGGCTTGCCCGCACCTGGCTCTCAGAACTCTGGTCTTCACAACTATGAGAGGATGAATCTCTACTGTTCTGAACACCAGTGTGTGGTCATTTATTGTTGCAGCCTTTGGACACTCACCCTGGGGAAGCACACCAACCCACAGGAGGGGCTGGGCAGTACTGGGAGCCCCAGCAGACACCGAGGGGCCTCACTGCTGGTGCTTCCTCCCACCCAACCAAGGCAGGTGTCCCCTTGCCACCTCCAGAGGGAGCCGCAGCCACAGCACCAGGGCCAGCCCAGGAAGGGGTGCATGCCCGGGGTCCTCCCTCTGCCCTGACATGTGTCAACCCTGGAATCCCCAGGGTCTGGCTTAGGGACTTGCACAAAGCTCATGGTGAACACTCATTAATGATGATGATGAAACAGTTTGCAAAACAGGAGTCCAGGGACTCAGAGGCCTGATGTGGCACCAGGGTGCAAGGAGGAGAGGCAACCTAAGATCTGCAAGGAGTCACAAACCCACCAAGCAGCAGCAGAACCCAGCCTGGGGTGGGGGGGTCAGAAATACCTGGTCCTATTTTCTGAATCAGAAACTGGCTCTGAGCTGAGGATTTAGCCCAGCAGTAGAGCACCTGCCTAGCTTGTGTGAGGCCCTGGGTTTGACCCCTGTATTGCCAAACAAAAACAAACAAGAAACAACAACAAAAAAACTCAAACTGGCTATGTTGGCCATCCATATACTCCTTCAAGGGTGACAGGCTGGTGTCTTGAGACTGGACATCCTGGGAGTTACTTTGGAGTTGCCTCCAAATTGCATGCTTTCTTGATCAGCTTTATTGAAATATAAACTCACACACCATGCAATTAGCCTATTTAAAGTGCACAATTAGGGCTGGGGATGTGGCTCAAGCGGTAGCGTGCTCGCCTGGCATGCGTGCGGCCCGGGTTCGATCCTCAGCACCACATACAAACAAAGATGTTGTGTCCGCCAAATACTAAAAAATAAATATTAAAATTCTCTCTCTCGCTCTCTCTTTAAAAAAAAATAAATAAATAAAATGCACAATTAAGCCGGATGTGGTGGCATACACCTGTGATCCCAGAGACTCAGGAGGCTAAGGTAGGAGGATTGCAAGTTCAAGGCCAGTCTGGGCAACTTAGCAAGATCCTGTCTCAAAACAAAATTTTTATGTAGGGCTAAGGATATAGGTCAGTTGGTAGAGTGCTTGCCTTGCATGCACAAGGCCACGGGTTCAATCCCCAGCACAACACATGCACACAAAAAAAGAGTGTAAAATGTTTATGTAAAGGCTGGCATGTATGGGGCTGGGGCTGGGGCTGGGGCTCAGCGGTAGAGTGCTTGCCTAGCACATGCAAGGCCCTGGATTCGCTCCTCAGCACCACATAAAAATAAATAAATAAGGGCTCGGTTTGTGGCTCAGTGGTAGAACGCTCGCCTAGTATGCATGAGGCACTGGGTTTGATCCTCAGCACCAGATAAATGTAAAATAAAGATAATGTGTCCACCTAAAACTAAAAAATAAATTTAAAAAATAAATAAAATAAAGGTATTGTGTCCAAATACAACTAAAAAATAAATATTTTTTTTAAAAGACTGGCATATGGCTCAGAGAAGGCGAGGACTCACACAACCTGCACCTTTTGGGACTGATCCTCTGTGGCCACAAGTTCTCATGGTTTGCCTATGCTGACGCACATCAGAACTTCCATCCTTCTCATGGCTTCATGCCATTCCATTGTCTGGAAGATCCCATCATCTGCAGGTGGCACCCCGGTCACATCCACCTTTGTTCCATTTGTGTTTGACTTGGACTTGGGTCTGTGGGGAGGGGGAGATAGACTGAACCCTCCTTGAATTTCAACACATCAGACTCTCTCCTAGCACTGGGAGAAACCCCAAGCAGACTACATAGCCCACACTCGTGCTAAGAGATCCTCAAATCTCAATGGCACCTGCCACTCACACTCCTGATCCATTCCAAGGCATTTCAGTGACACTTAGTTTGCATTCTCCTTCTCAAAATTGGAGGACTTCTTCAGACTTGGGGCCCAGGGTACCCAGGGACAAGTGTGGCCTGGAAGCCCACCTGAAAGCCTCTTGCTGCTGAGGAGAAAGCCCCACTGGGCTGGGGGAGCAGCTGTGGGGCTCAGGGAGGCCACCAGTCCTGGACCTGAAAGTGGAGTCGTAGACAGGCAATAGTTGCCAAGCAGAGCCCAGTGGGACAACTGTGGGACTCAGAATCCAGACCCCAGGAAGAAGGAAGAAATGTGGGATTACCAGGGATGATCTAGGGCCAAGCCTGCCATGGACCCACCAGGTCAGTCCAAGCATCTGGGGATAAGCCAGATTCAATGCCTGGAGTTTTCTGGAAAGTCCCAATAAAAACTGGTCACTAAATGTGTAACTGGACATGATATGGTTTATTAAGGCTTCACAATTGAGACCAGCGACCTATAAGTCATTTTTTCTTTCTTTCCTTTTTGCAGTGCTGGAGATGGAATTCAGGGCGACCTGCTAGCCAAGTGCTCTACTCTCAGCTACACACTAGCACTCAGGCTAAAAATTCTTATGGAACAGAAATGGGGTTTCCTCAGGTTGATCTCCAAAATACCAGTAACTGGGTCCTGGAGGTCTGTAGAATCAAACTGCTGGGAATCAAGCCACCAGAGCCCGAGGGAGGGACTACTGCTCCCTACCTGTGGATTTTCCGCACTGCCTGAATCTCAGTCAACAGAAGCTGGGCACATATTGTGTTTCTGGTGTCGCCTTGGTTCTTGAGCACATCAGTGAGCACAGTACACAGCAAGGCCGCGCCTCTGGGCACTCTCAGGCCCACACCTGGCTGGCAGGTAAGCAGAACATAAGTAGATAAATGAAGTGAGGAACCCCTCCAGTTCTTTGCGAAGCCAAAGAGACTATGGCGCCAGAGCTGCATTGTCCTTGATCTACATTGCCAAGAGCGCAGAGAATGGAAGCCTGGAACTTTGGGCTCTGAACATCCGCGAGCCAGGGCGCGAGAGCCGCTGCACTGGGCCCGCCAGCAGAGGGCGCGCACCGCCCCCCGCAGAACAGACACGCATGCACCGAGCGGGGCGCTTTCCGGCAGCGAGGCGGAACTCTACGTTGCTTCGCGCCACTTGACGACACCTGCGCGCGGCGCCGGGCGGTAGCGCGGCAGTCATGGCGTCGCCCTTCAGCGGGGCGCTGCAGCTGACCGACCTGGACGACTTCATCGGGCCGTCCCAGGTGGGCAGGCAGGCCGCCCGCTTACGTGGAATAGAGATCGGGCTCTCACAGGCGGCTCGCGTGGGACGGGCTGCCGGTGTCGGCCGTGGGGCGGCCCACTGGGGCAGGACGGGATATCCCGGACGGTGTCGGGGAACGGCCCACAGTCTACGGCGGGGTACAAGAGTGTCAAGGGTGCAGTTCACTAGGGCACATGGGGGAACCAGACAGACAGCAGTGGGTGTCAAGAACGGCCCACTTGGAGCCCAGTGGAGGGACCGGCTGCACCAGGCTGGAAGCTGGTGTCCATATCTGGCAGGGCCTGCCTGTAACTGCCAGGGCTCTGCACAGCCAAAGCTGAAAAGCACCACCCCAGATTAACCGAGCGGGGCTGGTCTACAGGGCAGGCAAGATGAGCTGCAGCCGCCTCCTGTGAGGTGGGAAGGAAGTGGCCACTATGGTTTTGGAATCGCAAGACAGAACTCAAGGAGACGGGAGAGCCAGACTTGCTTCCAGGGCTATGTGGAGTGGTGACCAACAGATGTCACCAAGGGAAGCATTCCTTGGTTCCCTCAGTAGCCATTAACTTTGACCTCTTCTTGGTGGCTGCACCACTGTCTGCTCTTGGGTCAAAGGTCAGGAATGGAGGTCCCTGCAGATGGGCAGTTTGCAGGCCTAGTTGGTGCTGGCCTTCATACTGATCCACACTTGTGGAGTGAGTGACCTTGATGTTAGACTCCAGTGCCTAGTGCAGAGGAGGGCAGCCTGGGACAGCCTCAGTAGCAGGAAGATGGTGGGTCCATCCTATCCTGGGCAGAGCCTTGTACCATGGGGCCAGCCATTCTTGAGGCTCAGCTACCTCAGGAGCTCCTTCACAGAACAGGTTTGGGATCTCTTCCTGGTATAGGATTGCATCAAGCCTGTGAAAGTGGATAAGAGGCCTGGAAGTGGTGTGGCCAGGATCCACATCGAGGATGATGGGAGTTACTTCCAAGTTAATCAGGTAAGGCATGGAGCCCCACCACAGTCCAGCTGCATGGGCTGAAGCATGTTTTCTCTGCTTCATCCAGTTGCAATGTGGTAGCCTTGAGACTTTCCACGTTCTGCCAGTCATTTCATATTGGTCTGTTCACTGACTGCTGGGGCACCAGGTCAGAGTACTTGGGGAGCAGACTGGGTGCCCAGGCTGAGCAGCAGGACTGATTTGTTCTACAGACATGGTGGGTCCTGCTGCCCTCTCCTAAGTTCTAGGATGAGATCTTGGAGCCTGCCTACTTGCTCTTTTACCAAGTGAACACGAGTTCCCAATGCTATAGTATTAAACTGACCCCAACCACCTGCCATTTGGGCTTCAAAACTACATTCACAGGGCTAGAGTTGTGACTCAGTGGCAGAGCACTTGCCCAGCATGTGTGAGGCACTGGGTTAGATTCTCAGCACCACATATAAACAAACAAAATAAAGGACCATTGACAAATAAATAAGTAAATATACATACGTGTGTGTGTGTGTGTGTGTGTATGTGTATGTGTATGTATATATATATATATATAAACAAACTAAACTCACCACTGGGCTGAGAAATGATGCTCTGTCTGCCTGGCCAGGAATCCTCCCTGAATGGGAACCTTTCTTGGTTCATGGTGTGGGGTGTGCAGATGCCTGTGATGAGCAGGATCACATGGTCACAAGAAAGCTGACTTTTGCTCTTTGCAGGATGGTGACTCAAGGCATGCCATGGCTGGGGCTGGTGCAGCTGAGAGGGCCTGATTCTTTCAAGGGTTCCATAAGTGAAGGGACCCAGGGAAGGTGCTGGGCACTCATGGGCACTGCTGTCCAGAGCTGTGGCTATTGATTTGAAGGAGCACTGCAGCCTCCCTTGGCACATCACAGCCCAGGCCTGTGGGTTCTTAGCTTTTCAATGTGGGCTAATCTCAGATGTGGCAGCAGCACAGCACACAGACCTAGTGGGAGGTAGCTCAAAGGACCTCCAATTCAGAACCTCACCCCTGAAGCTCTCCTGTCTCCAGCTCAAACCAGGCTCATGTCTGTAAGGGGGAGTCAGGGGCTTTAGCTGGGATCATCTTGATTGGAAAACCCATTGAATACCCTCCTAGAGGACCAGCCTGAACACCAGCATCTCGAGGCTCTACCTCTGTCTGGCCGAGCCAGCTCTTGGCATTACCTCCTTCTTTTAGAGCCTATTCCCACAGGCCTACACATGCACAGCAGGGCCAGCATCCCCTCCAGCAGGCAAGTCTACTGCTTTTGTGCTGACTGAACGCAAGCAAGCCCTATTCGTACAAGTTTGATGTGCTAGTTGAGTTTGTCCCAAAAGTTGAGTTTGATGTCAGTGTGAAAACTTAGGATGTGTACTAGTATTTTGTGTAACATTTTTTAATTTTAAAAAATATGTTAAATTTTTAATATTTTAATTTTTAAAAATATTGAGTGGCAGGGCTGGGCATGTGACTCAGGGATTGAGTGCTTGCCTAGCACATACAAAGCCCTAGATTTAATCTCCAGGACCACAGAAAGTAAATGAAAATAAAAATCGAGTGGCACCCAACTAGACACCATGTTGGCTGCCAGTGTGTTGTAAGCAGAAGAGCACAGGCCCCTGTGGGATCTGCGCTCCTGAGAGGAGCCCTGCAAGGGGACCGTTGTCCTAGGTCCATGCCCCTTCTACAGGATGGTGGGACCCAGAAGCTAGCAAAAGCCAGGGTCTCACTGAACGACTGCCTGGCATGTAGTGGCTGTGTCACCTCGGCAGAGACTGTCCTTATCACCCAGCAGAGCCATGAGGAGCTGCGGAAGGTTCTAGATGCTAACAAGGTAAGTGGTACAGATTGGCCCAGCAGCCCAGGGCATATTTCTTCAGGGGCAGCTCACCTGGTGCCACTTGTCCTTCCTTCAGGTGACTCCCATATCTCTTGGGTCTTGCCATGCTCTGAGATGCCAGGCCCTAGCTCTCTCCTGAATGTACCCCCATGTGCTGGGCTCCACTGGGGCAGCAGGCTCTCTCCAGAACCATTGGCATCTGGCTTGACAGGCTGGGAGCTGGATCTTACAAACCTGCAGAGTAAGTGCCTCTCCCCACCTTGCAGACTGCAGCACCCAGTGAGCAGCGGCTGGTTGTCATTTCTGTCTCACCCCAGTCCAGAGCATCGCTGGCTGCAAGGTTTCAGCTAAATCCTACAGACACTGCCAGGAAATTAACTTCATTCTTTAAAAAAATAGGTAGGTGTGGAACCTTGGGTGAATACCATGGCCCCAAACATGGGTGTTGAGCACGGGGATGCTTCCCACTTCCAAGTCACAGTCACTCAGCCCTGAACTCAGACACTTGATGTGTTCCCAGTGGGACTTCATCTTGAGGTTGCTTGACAGTGGAGAGCAGCAGCTCTTTTTTCTTTTAAGATGTTGATGGCCCTCTATTTATTTACGTATTAACTTATTTTTAGTTGTAGTTGGACACAATAGCTTTATTTTATTTATTTTTATATGGTGCTAAGGATTGAACCCAGGGCCTCACATGTGCTGGGTGAGTGCTCCACCGCTCAGCCCCAGCCCCTGGACCTTTATTTTATTCATTAAGCGGTGCTGAGAATCCAGCGCTCCACCACTGAGCCACAGCCCCACACACGGTAGGCACTCATTCCACCGCTGAGCCACAACCCCAGCCCCTGGACCTTCATTTTATTCATTTATTTATATGCAGTGCTGAGAATCTAGCCTGATGCCTCACACAATAGGCAAACACTCTACCATTGAGCCACATCCCCAGCCCTTTTCATTTTTTGAGACAGGGTTTTGCTGAGTTGCTAAGGCTGGTTTTGAACTCACAACCCTCCTGCCTCAGCCTCCCACACGTGTGGCCACTGTGCCTGGTGGGGAGCAACACCTCTGAAGAGCAGCCATCTGCTCCGACTTGCACTCTTCCCACACGAGGAACTCACCACCCTGTGTGTTTCTTACCTGTTGTTCTGAAGGCACACGTTCCAGGGCTGTGTTGGACACTGGTCAGCCACATCCAGACTTGGTTGGTCACTGGGCTAGGGGAGGAAATGAGTATCCTGAGAGCCCCGGCTAGATTGGGGTGCTAGTGCCAGAGTGGCCAGCACCCCCACCCTAGTGGGAAGTGAAAGGGGGTGTTCACAGGCCCCTTTCACAGAATGTTCCTTTACCTGGTAGACAGGCTAATGCCTGGTCGTCCTCCCATGACCAGGAGGGTCTCTCACCAGAAACTTACTGACACTGGCCCTCTCTGGCTGTCCTGGTCCCTCAGACCCTGGGGAAGCTGGCCTAGGGCTGCGCCTGGTCCAATGGAAGATGGAAATCAGTATGGCACCATCCAAGAAAACAAATTCAAAGATTTTTCCTTCTGGATCCTGGCGGGGAGGGTGCAGTAAGTCAGAAGGGAAGCCCTTTACTGGAGTCAAACAGGTTTCTGCAGGAGTTTAGTTGATGGGTTTAGAGCAAGCAGGTACAATTGCCCAGAATCTCACTGTGACTAAGTGGCATTCACCTGGGACTTCTGCACAGTCTGGGGGGATGGGGAACAGTGGGCAACAGCCCAGGAGGAGATGGTCCCTTGGAGCTGGCTGTGTAAAAAAGATGTTTGGACATACTGCTATGAGGACCTGGGAAGAGGTGGAGCACTAGGAATTGTCCAGGAGCCTGAGCCCTGCTCCAGTGTGAGAAAGCCAAACCTTAGAAATCAAACAGGAGGGCTGGGGATGTGGCTCAAGCGGTTGCGCGCTCTCCTGGCATGCATGCGGCCCGGGTTCCATCCTCAGCACCACATACAAAGATGTTGTGTCAGGGCTGAGGATGTGGCTCAAGCGGTAGTGCACTCGCCTGGCATGCGTGCGACCTGGGTTCGATCCTCAGCACCACATACAAACAAAGATGTTATTTCCGCCGAAAACTAAAAAATAAATAAATATTTTTTAAAAAAAAAAAAAGATGTGTCCGCCGAAAACTAAAAAATATTTAAAAAAAAAGAAATCAAACAGGAACCAGGTATGGTGGCACACGCCTGTAATCCCAGCAGCTAGGGAGGCTGAAGCAGGAGGATCACAGGTTCAAGGCCAGCCCCAGCAACTTAGTGAGGTCTTGAGTAACTTAGTGAGACCTTGTCTCAAAATGAAAAATAAAAAGGGTGGTGATGTTACTCAGTGGCTAAGCACCCCTGGGTTCAATCCCCAGTACAAAAAAATAAATAAATAAACAGGAGTTCACTGCAGTGGGAGTTGCATCACAGGAAGTTGTCCCCTGGCCCCAGGCAGCACCTGGCTTATCCCAATGGCACAGGCTGTTCCGTGCTTCCTGGGGCTGCAGTAGAAGCAACTGGTGCCGCTGGGGGCAGTGCCCTATTTTTGGGGATGTGAACAGTGCTGCCCCTGCTGTGGCCAGCACCAGAAGGGTCACCCATGGCTGGTGCCAGCTGTGGTGGGGGTCAAGCTTGTGCCTTTTTTCCAGGGGCGCACTTCGTCTTCGACACTGCCTTCTCAAGGAACTTGAGCCTCCTTGAGAGCCAGCGAGAGTTCGTGCGGCGATTCCGAGATCGAGCCAACTCCAGAGTGGCCTTGCCTGTGCTGGCTTCTGCCTGCCCAGGTGTGTTCATGGTTGTGCAGGTGGCAAGGTTCCAAATCATGTGGTTAAAAGCTGACCATACCAGCAGCAAGGCTCAGGACCTGGAGAGCAGGTGGGGAGGCAGAGCTCTTGGACCAGTCAGTACCTCAGGCCTCTTGGAGGAGGCGCCCCATCAGGAAAATGCCTGCAGTCTCTCCCCTTCTGTGGCCTGGAGGCTGGTACTCCTGGTGACAGGGGTGACAGAATGGGAATGCTATCTTTGCTGCGGTCACTTTTTGTACAAGTTGGTCTACCCCCGAGTGTTGCATCGCTGTCAAGCAGAGAGGCACTCTGTGAGCCACCCAGGCCTGCCCTGTGCCCATCTGAGACCTGTTGGTTCTGCCGGCACAGGCTGGATCTGCTATGCTGAGAAGACCCATGGCAGCTTCATCCTCCCCTACATCAGCACGGCCCGGTCCCCACAGCAGGTCATGGGCTCCCTGGTCAAGGACTTCTTCGCCCAACAGCAGGTAACAGCCTTAGGTCGTGTAGGGCAGCACGCTGGAGAGTGGCAGCTGTGACCCTGGCATTGGTGGCCCTGGCTCCAGTCACTGTGGCTGTGGCCATGTACCCTCTGGAGGCATTTGGGGTCATAAGCATTAATGGCAGCTGCCTATGAAGGTGCTCTTCACTCACCTAGAGGTGGCCCAGCCCCTCGGGAGCAAGAGGCCTAAGCCAGGCTGCAATCAGGTGACCTCCACAGGCTGCTGGGTAAACAAGGGCACCTGCTGAGCCATGAGGACTCCAAACTGGTGCCACTGGCCCACAGGAGGCGGGGAGCCTACACTTCTTCTGACCTTAGTCCTGTGCTGTGCTGCTTCTGCACGGACACAGGCTTCCTTGAAGTCTGTGTGTGGTGCTGGAATCGAAACCCAGGCCTCATGCATGCTAGGCAAGTGCTCTGGTGCCAAGTCAGGTTCCTGGCCCTCAGATCTCCTGCACCACAACCTGCTTTTTCTGTTGACCCCAGAACCATGAAGGCTGAGGCCTCTTCCTCTGTTGGAGCTGGGTGCTGCAGGACCTCTGGCGTCCACTGCAGGGCCACGGCATCAGTGAGGAGGCTGCTGGGAAGCAGTGCCAGCCTGAAGGGCTGTTCAAGGCCAGCTGCATGGCCACCTCTCACCTCGCTTGTCACAGAGCGAGCTGTAGTCAGGTGGGACCAAGTTTCTCTCCTCCTGTAGCGCCTGGCCCCCGACAAGGTGTACCATGTCACAGTGATGCCCTGCTACGACAAAAAGCTGGAGGCCTCCAGGCCCGACTTCTATAGCCAGGAGCACCAGGCTCGAGATGTGGACTGCGTCCTCACTACAGGTATTGTCCTCACCCAGGAGGCAGGGCATTCTCAGCTGACCCCTCTGGGACACCTGCAGCCCTTGGGCCTGGAGTTCCTTGTTGGCTTGAGTGGGTCTGGGGGTTGTGGAAAGGCTCCAGTTCAGCCTTCTGACTCACATGTGCTCCCCATTGCTGAGTTGAGAAGTCTCAGAGTCTCTCAAGTACTAGCAAGACGGGAAAATGAACTGCCCAGGAAGCTGGGCAGACAGCACTAGACCAGCACAGTTACCTGGTTCACCTTATGCCACCCTGAGGGAATGAGGCAGCCATGAGGGTCTTTAGAGGGGTCATCCTTTCCCACCACTGGCTGGGTGAATATGTGGGCCTGCTGGGGCCAAGATGCAGCTGCCAGGCATGCGGGCAGCTTGAGGTTCGAGCGGTTGGAGCACCCGTGCTGTGGTCCCACACAGGAGAAGTCCTCGAGCTGCTGGAAGAGGAGGGGGTCTCGCTCTCAGAGCTGGAGCCAGCCCCTCTGGATGGCCTGTAAGTCAGCAGAGGGAACCAGGCTGCCGTGGGGTGGGCAGTGCCTCTCCTTCCCTCCCATGGCCTGCCCCAGGCCTGAGAGGCACAGCCCAACTTGGAGAGGCCTGAGCTCCCCGGGACAGTGTCAGACACACCAGGGGCCCTGGGGTCATTCCAAGACGTTCCTTTGTGCCCAGGACTTGTTTCCCACCTAGAAAAGCTTGAACACAGCTGTGCTGAGGCCCTGCTGTCCTCACCCACACTGACCTGCCCCTTCCACAGGTCCAGCAGCACATCTGCTGAGGAGCCCATCAGCCACCGGGGTGGGGGCTCAGGGGGCTACCTGGAGCATGTGTTCCGGCATGCAGCAAGAGAGCTCTTTGGAGTCCATGTGGATGAGGTCACCTACAGGCCTTTGAGGTCAGTGGGGTGGCCTGGGGCACCAGGACAGGATAGCCATAAAGCTCCTAGACTGGTGCCTCCCCAGCCCTGGGTCCTCTTGGTGGGCTTGGTGGTAGACCCTGGAGCACTGGGCACAAGTGGGGGCCTCAGTTTCCCCCTTAGCAAAGATCCTGAGCCCAAGGCCGCTGTCCTCAGGACAGGTGGATACCAGTGACACCTGCATCTGGGAGGGAGGGCAAGGCTAGGTCCTCCCTTGCCATGCCTCAAGACCAGCCTTAGGAAAGGGGACTCGCATTTCACAGGTGAGGAGACAGACCTGGGAGAGGTTAAGGTCACCTGTTGGACTTCTGGTTGGAGGGAGCACTCCACTCGTTCTACCCTCCCTCCCCTGCCCAGGAGCAGGGGGTGGAAGTGCTGAGTTCCCCTATCCCAGCAGGGTCCCTGTGTGTGTACAGGAGCCTGGTGTTGGTGGTGCATATAGTCTCTCCCATCCTCAGGAACAGGGACTTCCAGGAGGTGACCCTGGAGAGGGAGGGCCAGGTGCTGCTACACTTTGCCACTGCCTATGGCTTCCGCAACATCCAGAACCTGGTCCAGAAGCTCAAGCGAGGCCGCTGCCCCTACCATTATGTGGAGGTCATGGCCTGCCCCTCAGGTGCACCTCCCGGCAGGAGATGGCAGGGGCGGGGGCTGCTGGGATGGAGTTGGCAGCACCCCTCCAGCGCTGGAGGAGGTGAGTGGGGAGAGGGTGTGCACTTTGACCCCACCTGACACTCTTGTGACCATAACCTGTTCTGCACAGGATGCCTGAATGGTGGAGGCCAACTCAAGGCCCTGGACATGTCCAGCAAAGACCTTCTCCAGCAGGTGGAGAGCCTGTATAGCATGGTCAGGATGGAGACACCTGAGGATGTGCCTGGGGTCCAGGAGCTGTACCAGCAGTGGCTGCAGGGTGAGAGCTCAGAGCGGGCCAGCCGCCTGCTGCACACCCAGTACCATGCCATAGAGAAGCCCAGCTCGGGCCTGAGCATCAGGTGGTAGGAGGCCTCGAGGTCTGCTGGGGCCAGCGCCCAGCAGCACAGCCTCTCACCTCAGACCCCAGGGCTCTCCCAGAAACAAAAGGAGATGCACAGTGTGTTAGAGCCCATGTTAAAGTGGGTTCCAGATACACACAGGATTTCGTGGTCTGGAAATGTGACCTGTGCCTGCACACCCCGGGCTCTGTACTGGCTTTGCAGGTAGGGTGAGGGGTGGAAGACGAGGCTGAAGATTCTCTGAGGTTTGGGACTCTCTTCCACTGGCCCTTCTATGGACATTGCCTTTCCTGGCCATGGTGGCTCTATAGTGAGGGGCTCCGGAGTTCCTGCAGGTGCCATCCCTGAAGTCTGGAATCACCTGGAAGCCACAGGGCAGGGGGCAGGTGACGACTAGTAGTGTCAAGTATGGGGACTGCTGCAGGAAAGGACATCTGGACTCCTGAAACTAGGGTTACAGAGTTGTGGGCCTAAGGTCAGCTCTGTATCTTAGGCTGCATCCCTGCACAAGTCTTCCCTGGCCATCATGCCGCCATGGCTGGGTTCCTGCCAGGCCCGTCTCTGACCCAGTTTCACCTCTGATAAAGGACATGCCCAGCATGTCTGGAATCACTGCTGTCTTGGAGCGTCTGTGCCCCAAAGGGCCTCTCAGAGATTTATTCACTGAGCAGAACCCAGGCAGGACTGCTCAGGCACAGACAGGTGTGTGGCTGCACAGAGGTCCTGCAGGTCTACCTCCAGGAGCAGTGGAGGAGAGTACCACTTGCTGATCCTCGAAGGCTGGGCATACAGCCAGGCAGGTCCACAGAGGCCACCCTTGTGTGGGTCCAGGCAGACTGAGAGTCGTGGGAGGAGCAACATGGAGTTGAGTGGGCCCTGGGTGGCTCACTTCTGGTGGCCCAAGAGCCCCCACTGCAGTGCAAGGAGTGCCCGGGCCTGTGGCTGTGGTGGCTCCACAGCCTGCTGGAAGCAAGCCCGCTCCCTGCACAGCACCTCCAGGACCTCGGCTGGGGCCACTTTGCCTGTGAACTTGCGTACCGCCTCTTCTCTGTAGGGGAGGGGCACAGTGGGGAATGGCTGGACACTAGGCTACCCATGGGGGTGGGAAGGGACAGGGCACTGGATGGATGACAGGACGATACTTAATGTGGGCCTCTCCTGGTGCCAGGGACACTCAGCCCAATTAATGGCCCCCAGACACCTTAACTAACCAAATGGCTGCCAAGGAGGTCCCAGGGAAGGCAGGCTGGCATTGCCAGCTGGTTCCACAGGGAGATGCCTCCCAGGCTGCCTTAATGACTGTAGCTCAAGCCCCACCCATGGGGAGGCCCCAGACATGGCCATACTCACGCCACCCTCAGGAAGGGGTTGTACAGCAGCTCCTCGCCCAGGGTGGATGGCACAGTGGGCACATCGTCCTCATCTCTTTTCTGCAGCGACCATAGGCCCTTGTCATAACCAGGCTTTTCCTGACAGTCCCAGCCTGCTTGGCTGTGGCCACAGGGCCACATATCCCATGCGAAGCCAGCAGTGGCCACCAAGGCTAATCGTGCTGACCCTGGGGATTCTCCTGCAGCCAAACTCAAAAGAGAGCACATGCTCTCCCCACTGCACATCCCTCCCATTAAGGGGCAAGAAGTGGCCTACCTGGGCCCAAGACAGTTTGGCTCTCACGTGGTCATTGTGGGGCTCCACTGTGTGTGCAAACTCCAGGTTGCACAGTGTGTGCTCGTGGCCACAGAACACCTTCTGGAGAAAGGGCATTAGTGTGCAGAGCACTACTGCAGGCAGAGGTGGGAGGCGCTCAGGACCTGGCCCTAGGCCCACCGTCTGGACCCGGACAGGGCATGAGGGTTCCCAGAGGAAGCACAGCACTAAGCAGGGTCTGGACCCCACGCACCGTCTGTGGGGGCAGGGTGCCAAGGGTCTCTGTCAGACTCTGGTACATCTGCTGGGCAGTGCCTTCCAAGTGCCAGCCACAGCCAGCCACGGACAGTGCGTCCCCTGTGGGAGGAGGGTAGGTAAGAGGAGATGGGAAGCCTGGTCAGAGAAGATGACAGGGTGACCTCTGGGCTGTGGGTACCCGAGAAGAGGGCAGGCGGGTCCAGGCTTTCATCCTCCCAAAGGAAGTAGCTCATGTGGCCAGAGGTATGGCCAGGCGTCAGGAGGCAGCGCACATGGATGGCCCCAAACTGCAGAGGGGCAAGCGGACCTGTGAGGGCGGGTCGGGGGTGGGTCGTCCCTTCCCGCATTTCCCATGTGGCATACTCAGTACTCACCCGTAGTTCCTCCTCATGTACCAGCATGCGGGTCAGCCCACAGATGCGTTTGTCCCCGCCCATCACCACCATCCCCGGTTGTAGACGCGCCAGCTCCACATTGCCCCGAGCGTGGTCCCTGTGGACCCGCAGCGGAGGGAGCAGTTACCTCTGGTCAGGGAAAGGCGTCTTCAAGCCTCCGTACGCCCCACCTGCACTCACCAGTGGTGGTGGGTGGTTAGCACCGTGGTCAAAGACACTCCCTCTCGGCCTGCGATCTCCAGCAGCTGAAAGGAATAAAGTCATAGTGATTTGGACGTCTGGGTGAGCTGCTCCCTCCATACTGCACCGCCGCAAGTACCTAGGACAGCGCAGAGGAGGGGCTGTATCCTGCGTACAATTAGCGGGCGCCCCGCTATACAAGGGCAGTTAAGCACTGGATAAAGGACACGCGTGCCAAGGCAGCCCTAACTTAGGAAGCCCCAAGATCATCTAGAGACCAGAGATCAAAGAAGAGGATGGGACAGTCTGCTCCAGCCAGGGTGGGGGATTTGGCGTGTAGCACTCAAGGCTGCCTAGACCTTCAATGGTGTTCCTGCCACCCCCGACCGTCCCTTACCCTCTTGGGCACCGCCACATCCACAGCCACAGCCTCTCGCGTGTCCTCCTCGATGACCAGGTACATGTAGTTATCCTCAAGCACAGGAATGACCTTGACTTTCATCGTGGCAGAACTCAGCCACCCCACGCCTCCTCCAAAAAAAGGCCCCCACAGCCTACTGAGCCCTTCTGGGCAAGACGGGGACACGGACAGACACACAAGCGCGCGCGCAGAAGGTGCAAAGAGCCCTGCTTCAGGAATTCCTGAAGATCCGCGTGCAGGTTCTAGGCGGCCTCGTTGGGGCCCCGCCTTCCGCTCGCAGCCCCGCCTCCCAACGGGCCCTGCCCCTAGTCCGCAGGCCACGCCTCCTCCCACCATCCCGCCCTGTAGCCACAGAGGGACCCCACACTCCAGACAGGTGGTCCCGAAAACCCCTCACGACACCTGTGCAGATGGCCTGGAGGACTGACCGACGGAGGCAGGGCCTAGAGGGAGCCTTCACTGCCCGGCCAGGGACTGATGCTGGCTGGAGGGAACGCGCATGCGCAGTGGAGCGTGGCGCATACGCTTTGACCTGGTTCCGGACACTTGCCGCCTGCTCACAGAAACCTTCCCTGCGCAAGTTTTCCGAGACTGCTACCAGTATTGGAATGTCCGCACCCTTCCTCTCAGGCTAGGGGTGGGGAGGGCTGTATAGCTTATTTACCAGCCTATCCCAAGTTTCGGCCAGCACGTGGAGGTACACAGAAGGCATCTATCTGAAGAGTGTACGAAGCACTAGCCAGACGCGGTGGTGCACAGCTGTAATCCCTGCTGCTCAGGAGGCTGAGGCAGGAGAATCGCGAGTTCAAAGCCAGCCTCAGCAAAAAAGAGGCACTAAGCAACTCAGTGAAACCCGGATGTGGCTCAGCGGTTGAGTGCCCCTGAGTTCAATCCCGGGTACTAAAAAAAAAAGAAAGAAAAGTGCACGAACCAGGTGCAGTGGCCAGTGTCTGTAATCCCAGCGCCTCAGGAGGTTGAGGCAGGAGGTTTGGGGGTTCAAAGCCAGCCTCAGCAACTGTATCTAAATAGAATATTTTAAAAGGGTTGAGGATGTAGCTCAGTGGTTAAGCAGCCCTGGGTGGGTTCAATCCTCAGCACCACATAAAAATTAATTAATTAAAGATATTTTTAAAAAAATAAACTGTCGAATCCACATGGTAGGATAGGACATTCCTCGTAAGCACAGCAGTATCAGCAACTGCATTTTTAGTTTCCATATACCTGATCCAGATGAATGCCCTGGGTGTTGGTCTGCATTTCCCAAATGAGGAAATGGCCCAGAAAGGAGCCGACACCATAATTGTAAGGAACCAGGTTCCCCGGTCCTTCCTCCTAACCGCCAAACTGCCTTGCCCTGTGGGCGTAACTCTGGCATCTCCAAGACCAACAGAGGCCTTGGCAACGCTGACACTCTGTGGAGCAACAGCCACCAGGCAGCCATCCTGGAGCAGGTCTGGGGGCCAAGTGCAGCAGGCTGGAATTCCTGCTGCCTATGGAGTGGGTGGCAGCCCCAGGGCCCAAGCAGAGGGCCCCTCCTCGAGCCTTGGAGAATGTGAGTCCTCCTAGGACACTGCTGCAGCTGTGGCCACCACCCTGACATCAGTTGGGTCCTTCGTCTCCCTCAGAGGCCGGGGTGGGGGACCCTGCACCCTGGGTCTGGTCCTGGCCAGGGAAGGGCTGCCCCAGTTCAGCAGGGTTGGCATGTCAGATGACCCTATCAGCGCAGGGGCCGCAGCCCAGACCTGAAACCCACCTGGGCATGGGGTGAATGGTGCCTCCCTAGGCTGTGCCCCAAGCAGAAGCCTGGCTGCCAGGAGTCTCTTGTGCCACTTCAGCCTGGGCCACCAGCCTGGAGGGAGAGCTTCCGTCAGATCTGGAGCTGAGCGAGGAACAGCGGCTACAGGTGGGGATGGGGCCCCAAGGTATTGGCAGAAGCAGGGCAGCAGGGTCTCACAGGCAGCACTCTTATCCTGGCCACACACAGATCTCCAAGGAGCTGGTGGACCTTCAGATTGCAACTCATCGCCTGCAGGAGCAGCACGAGGCTGAAGTCTTCCAGCTGAAGAGGGAGGTGAGCAGCTGTAGAAGCCCAGGTGTGCCAGATGATCACACCAGGGCAGGTGGTGCCTGGGAGTGCACACACATTCAGTATCGCCCTGTCCTTTGTATACCGTCTGCTCACCCTGATGACCCACAGGTCCTTCGGCTGGAGAGCCGGGTGCTGGAGCTGGAGGTGCGTGGAGATCATATCAGCCAGGGACATGTGGACCCAGCAGAGGTCAACCCAGCACAGAAGTTCAATCAAGAAACCCAGGGGCCGAGACACTCTGCCCACCACAGCCACCAGGTCACCCTGACCACAGGAAGAGCCCAGGTGGGTGAGGCTGTTGGGGGCCTACTCAGGCACATTTGAGATGGGACCTGCTCACCCACTCCTCACCCCTGCCTTCTCACCCATGCAGGTGCAACCCAAGGATGTCCTGATCCCTAAGCCATTGAAACTGGAGAATAGTGTGAGCACTCTGTAGCCTAACCTGGGAATGCTCTGGGGTTCTCCCAGCCCAGGGTGGGAATGGGACCCAGAGCTTGGGGTCTCAGGCAGCCAGCTCTTGTGTGCCCTACAGCTGCTGGGAACCCAGGAGCTTCGGGGTGAAGTGAAGTGGGTGCTGGAACATCACAGGGCCCTGCAGCAGACACTGGAGACACGGGTGTGAGTGGCCACCTCTCCTGGGTCTGGGAGGGCCTGTCAGGGCACAATACTCACAGCAGCCATTCCCAAGGGGCTGAGGAACCCCTCACCCTAGCCTGGCTGAGCTTCACATCATTAGCAGGGCAGCCCTGGGCCAGCAGCTGCAGGGAGCACAAGAGGAAGCCAGGGCAGCTGGACAGCGGCTAGCTGCACAAGCAGTGGTGAGCATCACCCCCCACACCCTGTGTGCTTTGAGATCCAGCAGTAGGTGTCCTCCAAGTGCAGCAAGGTCCCTCCCTCACCCCCAGATGCTGTCCACCTGCCAGGGCCAGCTCCGACAGGCCCAGGTTGAGAACGCCCGGTTGCAGCTGCAACTGAAGAAGCTGAATGAGGAGTATGCCCTCCGGCTGCAGCGCTGCGCCCAAGAGGCAGTGGTGAGCACCAGACCAGGGGTCCTGTGGTGGAGAGGGGAGGCCTGTGAGTCCCAGGAAGCCCACATCTAGTCTGGGCATGCTGGACAGCTTCAGGGAGACCCTAGGGATGGGATTGGGCCCAACCAGGTCACCCTGCCAGCTCCAGCCCAGCCCCCAAACCTAGCTCCCCCTAGTGCTGCCCCAGCATCAACTCACCTTCTCCAGGGATATGCAGATGGTGCAAGCCAGGCTGCCCTTCAGACTTTCCTGGAGGCCACTCTGCAGGACATCCGGGCAGCACACCACAGTCGTGAGCAACAGCTGGCCCGGGCTGCTAGGGCCTACCGAAAGCACCTGGCTGATCTGAGCCGTAGGCATGAGGAGCTGCTGGCCACACACAGGTGGGCCCCACTCTCATCTGGGCACTTGGGGTGGTACGGCCCTACATGACCCCACGTATGGCTCAGTGTGCAGCAGGAGCAGCTGCAGGCACTGGCAGACCCAGACAGGACAACTGGGACCCTCAAGGCTACCTTTACTACAGCCACAGACCTGAAGCCACTGTCTGTGCCCCTGGCCACTGAGCTCAGCCACCTGCAGAAGGATGAGGTGAGCTCCTCTCCCTGCTAGCTCACACTGTCTAGGGGCACAGAGCTCCAGAACTGACCCCAGCCTCATCCCAGGCTCAACAAAGCCCCAGCCCCAGGGCCTCAATGGCCTGCCTCCTTCAGCCAACCAAGGGATCCTTTATAGCACAGCCAGCTCAGGATGCTGCCCTTGTGCCCACGAAAGGGACCTGGTGAAGCCTCCTCCCAGGAGACCTCAGAGCCACTGTGAGTGCCCTCCTGTGGGTGAGTGGGGAGAGGGCAGATCATACAACACTGAAGCAGAGCTTTCTGCCAGTCTAAAGTGAACAAAATGGCTGGTCTCTGGCCCAGGGTCTTCCAGTTTGTACAGGGGAAGTAAGGTGGCTGCTAGGCCAAGTGTCAATGTGTGAAGAGGGCCCTGCCAGGAGAGAGGCCAACCTTGAATGCAGAAGACAGGGAGAGCCCATCTGAGGGAGGACCATTTCAGCTGATACCTGGAGGACCCAGGATAAAGACAGGCTGGGAGCAGGTTGCCTGGTGACCTGGCCAGCCCTTGCCTCTAGGCCTCTACCTCCCCAGCTATACAGTGGGCAGGGCTCTTGAGGTAGTACTTCCCAGGGTTTGGAGAACAAAACACCCAATGGGTTAACATCGCAGTAGACTGGGGTCACCATCTGAGCTTGCCCACTGCGGTCACCATCTGAGCTTGCCCATGGCTTACCATTCCCTGAGTGGCCATTGGGCCCCTCATGCACAGGAGCTCCAAGGCCGGGCAGGGTACGGTGTCCCAAATCACTCCAATAAGTTCCAGGTCAGCCCTCAAGACTGCCTCTTCTCCCCTCTCACAGGAGCCTGGATACCAACTCCTGGGCCCAGATCTGCCAGAAGCTCCAGGACTTCTCCCGAGGCACTCAGGTAGTGGGTAGGGCTGGAAAGGGCCCCTCTGCACACTCTGCCCTGGCTTAAGGCTCATGCTCCTCCCAGGCAGAGCTGGAACGTGAGCGAGCACAGCTGCTGGTGCGGGCCACCAAGGCTGAAGAGCAGCTTTCAGAGCTGCAGGAGTATGTGGACCAGCACCTGGGAAGGTGAGCTGAATGGGAGAGAACCTTAGTCTGGGTGGGGGAAGATACCATAGTCAGGTAGATGATTTTAACCTGATTCCTCTGAGCAGGTATAAGCAGGAAATCCTGAGGCTGAGGAAGCTGGTGGGTGCAGGGGACCCCTGGAAAGCGGGAACCACACCTCCAGCCAATCCCTAACATCCAAGGACACAGCCAGCCTTCTGAGGAGCACAGAGCAGACCCCTTCGTAGCCAGCAATGGAGGTTCCCCCACACCCCAGTCATCCCTGCACCCCACAACCCCACTATCCACAAAATAAGCCTTTGATCTATGAGCCTTTATTGTGTCCAGTTAGCCAGCCTGAGAACTTGGGAGGCTGGGGGCCAAGGCAGAACCAGGTCCTGGGGTGGGCAGGATGGGACAGGATGTGGCAGCAGGTCTGGCATGGTGGACGTCCATGTCGACATCGTAGGCCCAGACCCGATCTAGGCCTTCACCGATCACAGCCACAGGCTGCCAGGTGGGTAGGGGGAAGCGTCCAGATACCACACGAGCCCCAGCAGGCAGCTCCGCCAGCAGTTTATCTTCCAGCAAGGGGAGCTGTGGGAGAGAGAAGTGGTGAGAAGGCGGCAAGGGCAGCAGGACCCAACCTGCCCTTGTACAGCACCCATCCCCAGGCCTCAATGCAGCGCATGCCAGTGTGTGGCCCCAACTCCCAGTGGGGCTGCAGACCTCAGACCTACCACGCTGGGGGCCAGGAACACGGACACGTTTCGGCAGTCCCTCAGGCTCACCTGTGAGAAGGAGAGTCACCGGCAGGGGGAGGGGGCTGGCGGCCCGGGTCCCTGCAGTTTCAGACCTGACCCCTGGCCCACCCAGGAGTCAGAGAAACCTGGGGCTGCCAGAAGGCTGACCAAGGCAGAATCTGAAGCATAATCAGGTGTGGATCTCAGGGGTCTAGGTCCCCTAGGTTACCTTCCAGAGATCCTCACGAAGGTAGCAGACGCTGCCAGCACAACCGGCCCTCCAGGCATGCAACCTCGCAAGCCCCACAAGCCATGGGTTCAGTTCGTAGCCCACAGCTGGGCGGAGACCGCACCTGTGGGCCGCCAACACCTGCCGGCACGGCACCAGCAGTTCAGGACCCGAATGTTGGGGAGGGACGACCACACGAAGGGCAGGGAAGACACACAGGGACACACACGCGCCTTACAATTCTGCCGTCTCCAGAGCCCAGATCCACCATTTTTCCCGGGCGACCACGCAGCAACGACAACACATGCTCAACCTGCCGTGCACTGGCGCCTACATAGGGTACCTGGGCGAGATTAAGTGGGCGGGCTGAGGGCCAGAATCCATGGGCCACGTCCCCTCGCAATCACCAGGTGGGGGCAGAATTTGCCTCCTGGACAAGAACTGGAAGTTCTGTGGTGGACTTTCCTGCCGCACCCAGAGCAGGTGTCAACCCAAAGCCTCGCCCAGCGTTTAGCTGCAGTCACTTTTCCGCACACCGGCGCCGTCCCTGCCATTCCAAGGCGACGCCTCAGCCCCCCACCGCAACCCACGCCGCGTACCTGCCCAGAGTCCCACCCTTAGTGGTCTCGCCCTTCCACACACCCCAGTCCCACCCACCGGCCGGGCCCGCACCCTTCCTAGTCCCACCTCTTCGCAGCCCCGCTCTTAACCCGGTTCCGTCCCCCGGTCAGGGACCGAACCACTCGTGGTCCCGCCCCTCCGTACTCCCTGCCCCCGGCCGCGGTCCCGCCCAGCTGAGGTTCCGCCGCGCGGCCAAGCCTCGCCCGCACCTGCAGCCGCAGCGGCACTCGGCGGAAGCCTGGCTGCAACAGCAGCGCCCACACGGCGTAGGCGGCCAGCCCCGAGCCCGCCGCCGCCTGCAGCAGCTCCAGCGCGCCCAGCCGCCGCTCACGCAGCTCCGTCAGCGCCTCGGCAGGGTCGTCGTGCTCCATGGCTGCGGAACACGCGGCTCAGGGTCCTCCCGCCTCCAAGCCCTTTCCCTCCGCCGTGCCCCGTCGGTTACGCGCCTTCCTAGCGCTGCTCGGGAGAGTGCCGGTGGCTGAGCGGAGGCCGGGACTAGACGCCGGAAGTTGCCGCAGACCCACTGGCTGGTGCGTCGCGCGTTCGGCTCCGCCGGCCCCAGCCCAGGGCTGTCCCGCGGGTTCCGGGTGGCGGCGCCCTGCGGTTGCAGCGGCCCGGGTGTTCAGCAACCCTCGCGGGACGCACGGGGCCCTGGCCTGCTCTTAGCCGGCGTCAGTTGGCTCGGTCGTCCCACAATGCGGGCGACTATCGGGGCCTGTCCTGGCATGGGAACGTCCTAGCGGGGGCGGAGGCCCCAGCCTCCCGAGCGTGCACCGGAGAGGGGTGCGTTGGTGGGGCCGGCGGGAAGGGCTTGCTGCGGGCCTTGGGTCATAGCCAAGTCCTCACAAGGCTGACTTGGAGACCGGCGCGGGTTTCGCTGACCAGGACACCCTGGAAGTCAGCCAAACCCAGAGCGGTCCCGGGAGGACATCCTGCAGGCTCCCTCCCACAGCGAGGACCGTTAAGCGGGAAGGGAGGATGCGCTGGAGTTGGAGGGCCAGGGAGGAGGGGCTTGACAGGAAAGACTGGGGCGAGGAGACAGATGTTGGCTCTCTTCGGAGTGTGGTGGGAGGGGCGCCGGATGCGAGAGGCTGGGCCTCTGGCAGCTGGCCCAGCATTGGGGGTGGAAGGCAGCCAGGGGAGCCCTGAGATCACCTCTTCCAGAAAGTGAAAAAGGGTTGAGTGGCTCCTGGTAAAGCCCTGGGGTGGAGGCGGCAAGGAAAGGGACAGAACCTTGGATCAGGCAGCTGGTCACCTCATCACCCCAGACTGAGGACGAATGTTCTTGAATGTCATTGCCATGTCTGTGCACACAGCCTGGCTTGGCTGCTCAGCCATTCACGTCCTGGTCAGGGGACCCAACAAGGATGGAAACTGCTTCCAGAAAAGTGGGTGTGCCCAAGGCTAACCCTTCAGCCCCAATTGCAGAGTGTCTTCCATGCCTGCCTGCACATTGGCCCTAGCCTAACCAGACTGAGGGACAGTTGAGACAGTTGTCCCTGGGCAGCAGCAAAGCCTCCGTGCACTGCACTGGGAGGAGGCCTGTACACCAGCTCCTAGGGACCTATATCCTAGGGGGCTATAACTGGGCCCTCCCAGAGAAGGAAGGATGTGCACTGAGCTCCAGGTGTGGAAGCCCTGTTCTTGGGGGACTCCTTGCATTATTTCCAGTACCTGGAGCCATGTCTGGCTCCAGTAAGGCTCTCTGAAACTGCACCTGGTGACTCTTACACTCACACCAGAACTCTGCTCTTCTGCCTTTGGGCACTCAGCAGCCAAGGCCTGCCTGCCTAAGTTCACACACATGGAGGTGTCTCTGACCTTCATGGAGCCCTCAGGCCAGCTCCTGCGGCTCCAGTCCACTTCTTACCCACACCATTTCCTTTGCTATCTCCTCACTCACTTCTTAGGCCTTGGCCACTTGTCTCCTGGGACTCCTGGAGCACCAAAGTCTCCTGTGCCCTTCTGTCTGAGAAGCAGAGCACTGTTGGAAAGTCAGTGAATTCTCTGGATGATTGTGTGGGTAGGATGTTCAGGAACCTTCCAGGCTACATGAGTTGAGGGCCCCCCAGTACACCTTCCCAGTGTATTTGTGGACTGGTGAACTGGGAGGTGGTCTATAAACATCAGTGGATGTGGCCCAGAGGGGAGGTTGTGGGAACAGGTCTCTGCACTGACTGTGGGAAACTGGCCAGAGAATTAAGTCAGGTACCACAGGTGAGGATGCTACTCAGCCCTGGGGGAAGAACCTCCCCAGAATAGGTGAGCAGTGGGAGAGCCCAGGGTTCCCTCTTTCTCTGCTCCTGAAGATGCTGGGGGGTGGGAGTAAGGGTCTGGAGTCCAAGGGGTGGTCCATGTTGCAGATGAAAAGTGGAGGTCTGAGTGCTGAGGATGCATGGTTGAGGAGATGAGAGGAAACAGTGGGAGGAGACCCAGTAGCACCTGCCATCCATGGGTGCTCTCCTACCCTCCTCCTCAGTCTCAGGAAGCAGGCAGTTGAATTCATGGGCACTTAGATAGCCTGTCCCCTGGAGGTTCCAAGGCAGCCACTGAGCAGTCTGTGTGGCACAGGGCACTCGGTCAGCCCAGTCTGGAGGAAGGGTGTCCCTCTCCTAGCCTCAATTTCTTGCCTGAAAGACGACACCCATTCAACCTCTAGGCTCCATCCCTGCCTCTGCCCCTTTCCCCAGTGAGAGCAGACAAAAATGAAAAGCTTGGCCCTGAGGTCCCCCAGCATTAGAGCTGTGGCTCTTTCCCAATAGCTGAGGGGTTGAGGGTAAGCGGAATCTACTCTTCCAGGGCTGGAGAGCCCTAGTGCACACCCCCATGCAGGGGCTTTCAGCCTCAGGGCCTTGAGCTTTGTCCAGGGCCTCACTAGCCCTTATGCAGCTGGGAGGCTGAGGAAGAAGGCAGGGACAGCAACAATGGGACCAGTGGCGGGAAACGGTCCTTAGAGACCCTATTGTGCACCCCACTCGCCGGAAACAGACAAACAGGATCCCACAGTGGAGACCCCACACCCTGCAGGCTCCTCGCCATGTCTGGATGCTCAGCACGTTGCAGGGGCCTCTGGACAGAGGGGCCCATTCTTCCCGGAGGGCGGGACTGGGCCAAAGATGACTGGCTCACAACAGCTACAGAGGGAATTGGCACTCTGCCAGACTGCAACCCCTTTCCTTCACAGGATGGGCTTAGAGCTGGGGGTGATGCCTACCTGCCTGCCCTCACACACCTGAGGGACCCCAGACCCCCTGGCCTTGGGAGTTATGGCACCTTTCGCTCCTGCTCTGAGCCCCAGAAGCACCTAGTGTTGGAGGCAACAGCCAGCCAATAAGCCAGATGCATGGGTAAGGTCCAGGCTGAGAAGGGGTGGGCAGAGACAGTAGAGGGAGAAGGAAATTAAATGAGGCAGGTGCAGGGTTGTGCTGGCCAAAGGAGACCAGATCTACCATGTGATCAGTATTCTTATTGATTATCCCTAACCCTTGGAAGCAGCTGGGAACATAAATGCATCCAGAAGCCACCCCTCCCCACCTCCCTCCCACACACCCTCCCTAGCACCCTGTCCCCTGAAAAAGGCCCTCAGTCCAGTGTCACCTCACAGGGGTGGAGGTGGGCAGCCTGGGCAGATGTGTAGGCTCGGGTGAATTCTTGGACTCGAGGGGCACAGCCCAGCCAGGCTTCACCAAAGCGGCTCCAGCCCATGAAGAGGAAGGTGCCTGGGCCAGGGCGGACACCACAGCGCAGCTGGGTTCGAATGAAGGCCTGCCCCTGGCCTGCAGGCCCCCCCATCCCCAACAGTGGCAGTGTCTGGCGGAGGATATGGGTGGCCACCACAGTGATGACAGACTCCTGCAGCTCCATATCATGTGTGACCCTGTGGATGGTCCCGCGGATCACTGCGGGGAAACATGTTGGCCAGGGGTGGGCCATCAGGGGAGGGCAGGCCCCAGGCTCCCCCACACGGGGACACTCACCAAAGTCACTGGTGCATGCAGCCAGGAGGAGCTCCTCATCACTGCAGGGCCTGCAGGCACCTGCATGCAGGAGGGATCATGAGCCCAGGCACCACCAGAAGTGCAGTCACATGGCATGTGTGCACACCTGTAGTCAGGAAGTACCCTGGCAGGCAAGAGCCTGTGTGACACCCACCACATACATGGGCCTGGGGGCTGTGTCCACCCGGAGCTCAGTGTCCTGGGGCACTCTTGAACACCCATCTCATATATACATACCAGCATTCGGGAACCTTCTGTGACTTCCCAGAGTGGCCTTCTGGGACCCAAAGAGCAGCAGCCCTGCCAGAGTGGCAGGAGATTATTGTGTGCTCTGGCTCTGGGGTTCCCATCTTTGGGGAAAGAGGTCGAACAGTGAGAGCCCCATCCCCTGCAGGGTCAGGCTGAAAGCTCCATGAGCAAAGAGCTGGGCCTGGTGCCCTGCAGAGGCAGGACTGCGTCTCCATGGTGACCGGGAGGCACACTGGACTTTTGTTGGCTGGGCTGGGGGAGGGGCATGAGGTCACCGCTAGGCCAGTGAGGACAGCTTTTGCCAAAGGCTTTGACTCTGCCCGCCATCCCCTCCCCCCCAGCCCTTCAGGGACCCAAGTTTGCCAGCTTGGCCACCCCTTCCGCATTGCTCCCTGCCCGTTCTTTTCCTTGATAAGAATCCCGAGGGTGGGGAGCTCAGCCAGAACCAAACAGGTGGTTGGCTGACAACCGGCTGGACACTCTGCAGGGGGCTTACAAGTCCTATTCCAGCCAGTCCAAGGTAGGGCGCAACCTCGTGACTCCAACCTCCTCCCATCCAATCGGTCACTCACCATCCTCACCAAGGCCGTGGACTTGTGGAGGCAGTTCTGGGCTTCGGTCTTCACGCAGCTCAAAGCGGAAGGCGGCCACCCGGCGGCTGATGTCGCGGTGCGGTGTGGCCTGCAGGAAGAGGGCCCGGCGCTCGCGGGGACCCCAGTGCACGCAGCGGCCCCCTGCCAGGCCTGGACCCTCGGTCAGCAGCAACTCCAGGGAGCCGCCCTCCCGTTCAGCGAAGACCTGGGCGCCCGCGAAGGGCCGCGCTGGGCGCAAGCAGGTGATGCCCGGCCTCGTGCCAAAGTCAGGAGCGCCCAGAGTCAGGCGAAGCGCCCCAGCCGGGTATAGCCACTCGATGGCGCCCTCCACACAGGCCAAGGTCAGCTGCCCCACGCTGCCGGGCTCCTGCGTCAGGCCGCTGGGGACAGGACAACAGCGCTGAGGCGAGCTGCTAGTGTCCTTGGCCCGCACAGCCCGCTTTTCCGTAGTAATCGCAGAACACCGGCGCCCCCTTTGTGAAGGACACCGAGGTCCAGCATTCCTTGGATTCCTGGGGGAAGCGCACTCCCATCTCAAGGTGGGAGCGACACAGTCTCCCAGATTCTCCAAAAGGGAGCACAGCCGGGCTTGCACGTAGGGCCCCTACCTGCCCCTCCAGCTGCAGCGGTCCTCCGAGTAGCCTGCGCGCGCGGACACAGCCAGGAGGCCGCAGCAGAGAGCACAGAACAGCGCCGGGGGCGGCATGGCTCAGAGACGCGCCGGGGCTTCGGGTCTGGGGTCTTGGGGTGCTGCCTCTGGGCGGGGCGGCGGCGGGAGCAGCCCGGGCGCCGCCGCCCAGCCCGGCGCGGCTAGTCCCGGCTGCCCTCCGTAGCTCTGCGCTGCCCTACCCGGCTGCCAGGGCGCAGGGGGCCGAGGGCGGGGCGGCACGCTGGCCAATCGCGGCCCACCGTGGAACTTTCTGCCAATCGCAAAGGCTCTCGGGGGCGGGCCCAGTGCTCGGCGGGAGGACTGTCCAGCCCGCAGGGCCAAGTGGGACCAGTGGCTGTCCCTGCTCTTGCGCTGCGTCGCCCTTGCCGTCCTCCATCCCTGCCTTGCCGGTACTGCGCCATCCTGGTCACCACTGTCCTCCGAGTTCTGGAGCCCTAGATGGAGTGGCTGAGGGCTTGGGTCCACCAGAAGAATGAGGGGCAGCTCACCCAGATGTTCCTGCCACGCCCCCTGAGTGGCAGCAAGTCTGGTCCTTTATGAGAGCGGGAGCTGCACTTCTAGTCCACACAACACCCCACCTGGTTCCTCTGCCTCTTCCCCTGAGGCAGCTGGTACTCAGGGAAGAATGGTCAATACCAGGGGCTGGGGATATAGATCAGTTGGTAGAGTGCTTGTCTTGCATGCACAAGGCCCTGGGTTCAATCCCAGCACCAAAAAAAAAAAAAAAGAGAGAGATCAGTAGCAGGAGGTAGGAGGGCTGCCAACCTGTTGCTGCCCTCCAGGACGGGCAGGGTTGAGCTCTCTTAACTCTGTCTTCAGATATACAGGCGTCACACCTCAGGGTTGTTGGATGAATTCTGTGGAGGATGGAATCGTCTGGAGGAGCTAGTATGGGGAAGCCACAGACCTGTGATACAGGTAATTGTCAGGTAGAAGGATACCCTGTGCCACAGAAGCAGACCCAAGTCCAGACCAGCTGGCCTTCCACTTTCAAGTGAAGCAGGGGGTCAGGTGAAGCAGGGAGTGGTGAACTTCTGAGTATCAGGGGTCTCTGAGTTTGGCCTGAGGGGTGTGTTGGGGGAGGCAGCAGGAAGAACAGACAGTGTGGGCAAGACTCTGAGGGAGAGTTGTTGACCCACCAGGAAACCTCGAGATGCCAGCCTAGACTCTGAACCCTGTGCCCATTGCCCCAGCTTCCCCTGTAGCCCTGGATTTGCAGCTTATAGCAGGCAGATGAGACTGGAGGGCCCCAGTGGGAGGGAGTGGTTGGAGTCCCCAGCCAGCCCCAGCAGGCTCTCTAGTACTGATGCCCTCTCCTGTCCCCAGAACCTTCCCAAACCAAAGACAGGCCAGGAGCCATGGGACTCAGGTGGCCTGCTGCCTCTGGCTAGGGAGCCAGAACAGAGCATAACAATAGCCAAAAAACGAAAGTAACCCAATGTCCGTGGCAAACATATCCACAATAGGTTATTATTACTATTATATCATTCTGTTATTCAAAACAGAAAAGTTCCACACCTGCTATAATATGGATGAGCCCTGAGGAAATGAGCCAGTCACAAAAAGACAAATACTATGCGGTTCTACCTATATGAGGTTCCTAGAGCCGTGACATTCACAAAGGTAGAGGAATAGTTGGGTTTTACAGGCTTGGTTTCAGTTTGAGGAGATGGAAGGAGCTCAGGAGATTAGTTGTACACTAGTAAGAATGTGCTTAATACTACTGAGCCTAAGAGGGTTGATGGGCTGGGTGCATTGTTGCACACCTGTCATCCTAGCTACTTGAGAGGCCAAGACAAGAGGATCTAAATGTTCAAGGCCAGCCGGGGCAACTTCATGAGACCCTGTCTCAAAAAAAAGGGGGGGGGGCTGAGGATATATCTCAATTGGTAGAGTACTTATCTTGCAAGCACAAGGCCCTGGGTTCAATCCTCAGCACCCCCCCCAAAAAAAAAAAATCCAAAATAAATAAATAAATAAATGAAAAAAAGGGCTGGAGCTCCATAGTAGATCACCCCTGGGTTCAATCCCCAGATCCAAAAATTAAAAAGGAAAAAAGCGAGAGAGCCCGGTGTGAACAGAAGGTTCATCAGATATTTGAAGAAGGAAGGGGGACCCTTGGGTCAGCTGCCACAGCTGTCCTGGCCCAAAGGCTGCACCATCACCTTCTCCATCATCACCAGGCTGCAGCTACCCAAGACCAGGCCCCAGGGGCATTTAGTGGGCTCCAGGCGCCCTCTGGAGGCATGTGAGGAGTCAGCCTCAGAATCGCGCCACTAACTCCAGCGTTCACCCAGAGAAGGGGACAGTGTCCTGGGTGCAAGAGAGGGGTTCCCAGAGGGTGACCTGGTCTAAGCTGCCTCCTCAACACTACGCTCCTTCTGCTGCTTGCACCATGCCAATCTTTTGGTGATACTGCAATGATGTTGTTACCAAGGGAGAAAACCCAGAGAGAAACCATTTCTCATAGCTCCTGTCCCACCCAGGGAAGCACCTCGGTGCTTCAGCCATTGAGCTCCAATGCCATGGGCAGGGATCCCGAAGGCCATGTGTGGCCTTAGTTGCTATGGGTACAGGATACAATGCACCTGGTGCTTGTGCTCAGTAACTACCTGGAGAGCAAATCAGGGAAAGGTTAAGTGAATGAATAAGGGGAACTTGGGGAACTTGCTGACTGCTGCCAGTTGGGGCTCGCTTAAGTGTATTCACATCAGACCTCGAAGGCTTGAATTCCCCCTGTGAGAGTGAAGAGATCTGAATGGCTGTGCCCCCCTCCCCAGCTTCTGCTCTGCCTGGCTTTGGCCAAGTGGCATGCAGCATCCCAAAGCCTCCTGTCTCAAAGAGGGGTGGCCAGCCTGGGAGAAAATCCTGAGGCCTGGCTTCCCCAAAGGAGCCTTGGAGGAGCAGCCTGATGGAGGTGAGGGGCAGTGGAGCCTCAGGCACTGCCACAGGGTGTCACCTCTCAGATGCCCACTTCTGCTATTGCACAGCCCCCAGGAACAACCCCCAGAGCAGTCAGAGTTAAGGGGAGCAGGGGGCAATGGCCTCAAGACTGATGGAGCTCAGAGCAAACCCAGATTACTTGGAGTGGATGGTGGGGATGGCAAGGCCAGCCCTGCCAGCTTTACTGACCAAGGTGAGCTTGCCTCAAGGTACCAGTGAGCAGAACTCTGGAGGAAATGACCAGAAAACCCAGAGAGAATAGTCAAGTCTCCAGCTTGCACAGGGTTCTCTGCCCAAGTCTCAGATTTCACTGGTAGCCAGGTGAGGGAGAGATGTGGGTGACCTGAGGCTGCCCCTCCCTGTGTCCTCAGATAAGGACTTGGCCCTGAGATCCCAACAACCAGGAATGGTCGCATGTGCTGCTCTGGATGGCCCTGGCATAGTGCTATAGCCCCGGGTATAAGGAGATAGTTTCTACAACTGAGGGATGGGGCTATCAGAGCCATCCAGTAACATGCTCAGTGGCATCCGTCATGAGCACTGACCTGGGTCATCCACACAGCTTAATCTATGGAAACTCAGAGTGCTCAAGCCACCAGCTCTTTGGGCTGGGGTTCCCAGGAACAGTCATAGCTGCCGACTATCCCAGGGAGTCTGTGCAACCTATGGCTCCTGCCCACCTTCTGCCCTGCACCTCAAGGTGTGGGAAGCAAGATTCCTATTTCAGATGTTTTTCTTCACATGCTGAGAACCCCCCCCCCAATCTTTGGAGCTGAAAATGCAGCTGCTGATTGATTTGCACTTGAGCTAAAAATAGCTGCTGGCTCCAGCCAGGGCCAGGAAAATATCCCATTGCTAGGAGACGACGGTTGCTGGGAGACCGCCATCGCTAGGCGACTCCGTGTTGCTGCGGTGACAGATGGGCCCTGAGTCATCCTCAGCCGTGACAGGGGGCGGGCCAGGACGGAGCAGGAGCTGAGGGCAGCAGTGCCACACCATCCTCACCCATGGCCACCACAGCCACCTTGGCCACCATGGCCATGAAGTTCTCACACCTGTGGACATGATCTTCCACAGCCAGATGACCCATCTGCCTATCCCCAAGACTCTCTGCCTATCTCCTCTGCCTCCAAGCAGGGTCAGGGGAGTGGAAGCAGGGTGCCCCCATCTGGTCCCAGGATAAATCATTTTGCTCTTGAAGGGGCTCTCACCATCAGTACTGTGCTGAGATCTTCAGGTCTCCCTGTAGAGTCCAGACCCATTTCCCAGGAAGGGCTCAACAAGGGGGAATGCCTGAGCCCCATCTGGGGAGGGTGTGACCTAGGTCTGTGGCTCCAGGGCACAAATTCCTTCTCAGAGCCCTCAAGGACCTCCCATGAAGACTGCAGCAGGCTTCAGAGCCCTCACTCCATGTGGGGTGACATTTTTAGCTCTGATGTTACCATTACCCCCTCTCACAGCCCTCCAAGGCCTCAGGGCCAAATGTGCCAGCAGCCTCTGGTCCTCAACCCTCCTTGACTCCAGGACTGAGGCCCACAGTGGCACAGATGTGGAAGACTCCTCTGTTCTGAGGCATCAAGGCAAAAGGTACTCCAGGTGAGGGTCTCTCTACGGGAGGAGTGCTCCAGGTGAGAGAGTGCTTTAGTTGAGGGAGTCTCTAGGTGAGAGGGTCCTTTAGCTGAGGATCCTTCAGGTGAGTCCAGTGAGGGATGCTGCATGTGGAAGGTACTCCAAGTGCCCTCAGGAGCCCAGGTCACAGGCCCTCGCATACCAGTCCCCAGAACTGATAGAGGAAATGAGCATCTTCTGTGAGCTGGCCCCAGTTGGTGCCCCACACTTATACATTCATTCATATGTATATAACTTTATTTTTTTTTATGTGGCTCTGAGGATTGAACCCAGTACCTCACATGTGCTAGGAGAGTACTCTACCACTGAGCCACAACCCCAGGCCCAGTAACCCATGTTCTCTTTTAAAAATATTTATTTTGAGGTACTAGGGCTTGAACTCAGGGACATTCAACCACTGAGCCACAACCCAGCCGTATTTTGTATCTTACTTAGAGACAGGGTTTCTTTCTTTTTTTAAAAAAAAAAGAGAAAATTTTTTAATATTTATTTTCTAGTTTTCGGCGGATACAACATCTTTGTATGTGGTGCTGAGGATCGAACCCGGGCCGCACGCATGCCAGGCGAGCGCGCTACTGCTTGAGCCACATCCCCAGCCCATAGAGTCAGGGTTTCACTGAGTTGTTTAGCATCTCACTTTTGCTGAGGCTGGCTTTGAACTTGTGATTCTCCTGCCTTAGCCTCCCGAGCTGCTGGGATTACAGGCATGCACCATTGTACCCAGCTTCGTACCTCACATTCTTTAAAGGAGATTAAAAGCCACTTAGCGCCCAACCTCATTGAGGTCAGTTTTCTCTGGGGGTAAATGCTGTTCTCCAAAGACATCTTACAAAATGGGACATATCCCCACCAAATCCTGGTGCTGGCAACCTGTCCTTCCTTCTTCCCCACTGTGTGCTGGGCACCTGTGTTGTGCTCAGTGCCCAGGGGCACAGCAATGGGAAGGAAAACACCCTCCTGGCCCCCAGAGGCTGCTGTCAGCTGACAGCCCACTCAAACACAACAACAGACAGCCAGCAGACAGACCAGGAGGGCATAGGAAGGGAAGGTCTTGGGGGAGAAAACAGCTGTCAAGGTCACCGGAGTCATCCAGGTGCATGGGGATGAGCAGCAGGAGAGACAGCTGATGCAGGTAAGGGATAGACCACGTTAGGGTGCTACAGGCAAGGGACATGGCACCCTCCTGGCCTCAGGGGATGACCAGCATGGCAGAAACTCCAAGAGCCAGGGATTAGGTAGAGCATGAGGCTGTGGGCCATCAGGGCTTGATGCTCAGGGCTTTGAAGACTGCATCCTGGAATGGACAGAGCCCTGGGAGGGACTGGACCATGCCTGGCACCTGAGGAGAACAGAGGGGTAGAGAGATCATGCTGGCAGCCATGGAGGAGGGAGAGGAATGCACCTGACATGGGGAGGGTGACAGAGGTGGAGGGAAGCAGGTGGGACCTCTGGTGATAGGAAAGCCAAGCAGCCTTCTAAATAATAATCTCTAATGTCCCTGTGAGCAAACACTATCCTTGCTCAGATTCTTCAAAGGCAGGGCTGCTGGTTGGGGCCCATTCCAGGGCTGTGTGATCCCAAATCATTATGTGCCTTGGCCTTTCCCACGTCCCCCCTGTGCACTTGGGTGTGCTCATCTGGTGGAGCCAGGAGCCAGGTCTCAGTGCCACCTGAAGCACTCATAGTGCACACCTGCTCACAGCAGGTGGCAGAAGCAGCTGCTGGAAGGTGACGGCACAGGTAGGACAGATGCCCTCTTAGCACCAGCATCTTCTTGGGCTTCATCCTACCCATCCCATGCCAAGCTGCCTTCTGTGGTCCACATTCAGGCAAGACCACACAGATGCTGCCCTCACCTGGCTGCAGCACCCTGGACCCAGTGAGGACAACAAGGAGAACACTCTCCACTGTACCCCACCAAACCAGCCTGGATCCAGCCAGCCTGACCCTGCTCTCTATTGCTCTCAGGCCTCATGCCAGTCCCACTGGGCCCTGCTTCCCAACACCAGCTGGCTTCATTTTGTTAAGACACCGAGTCCTTTAACTTTTCCCTGCTTCCAATACCCTGCTCTGCTCTCCCCCACCTGACACTTCTGCCATCCTGTTCCCCAGGATGGGGCACCATTAGCATCTCTCCTTCAGCCCTGAGGCTGCTGGGAGATCTGTGCACCCTGTAGCCTCTACAGGGACTCCCATATCCATCCTTACCCTGCCTGCAGCAACTATCCTTCCTGACCTCTAGTCCATCTCTGGGGACCTTTGCACTCCACTTCCAGAAACACTCCTTCGTCTCACCCTTCAGGTCTCAGCTCACGGTGACATCCTCAGGATCACCACCCTCTAGAGGTCTCATCATGGTACCCTTTCATCATCACCCTCTGAAATGATATTGAGTCACTTGTTCGCATGGTCCCGCAGGTATGTGCCTGTACCAAGAGTACCAAGAGGGTTCCTGGGTCTGGCCCGCAGCAGGTGTCAGGGATTGGAAAGCCAGCAGGCCTGGTCTCCAGCTCCCCTGGAGGGTGCCAGAGGGTGGGGACAGACCACCTGGTCTCCTCAGACCTGGCTTCCCCTTCCTCGGCCCAGTAGGTGGCAACTACAATCCACTGCACGCGCGGGGCCGGCTCCCAACCCCGAAGGACCGCTGCCTTGGCCAACCGCTGGCATCAGGGATCCTGAGTTCTCCGCCTGCAGGTTGCGGGGTCGCCGCAGCTTCGCGCCGGCAGGCCGCTGGAGGCTGCTCTCCGGCCGCGCGCGCTGCCCTTCCCGGTCCTCCCCTCCCGCGACCTCCGGGTCTCACCGCGTGCCTGCGTTTGTTATTGTACGGGCGCCCGCAGCGAAGGCGGGTGCCGAGGCGCGCGGGTTCTGGCGCGTGCCCGTTGACGACGAGCCAGGCGCGCGCTGAGCGGGGGTGAGGGTGGGGGTGGGGCGGGGCTCAACATCCCAGGCGCCCCCTCCCGGCTCGCGATCCCGGATTGGTTCTGACGCCGGGAGCGCGCGAGGGCGCGGCGCTTAGGGCCGTGCTGGGGGCGCGCGCGGCGCCGCGAGCGGCCGCGGAGGAGCGCGGGGAGGAGCGCGGAGGAGGAGCGCGGGGAGGAGGGCGAGGGGAGGGAGGAGACACCCGCCCCGCTCCCTGCAAAGCGGCCTTATTTATCTGGGCATAGCCATAGCCTCCCCGGTGGGAGGCTCGGGCGGCCGATCCTCTCCCACCGGGGAGCTCCGCTCCGGGCGCGGCGGAGGGGGCCCGGCGGGGCGCGGGGCGCGGGGCGCGGCTGGGCTCTGCCCGCCAGTCCAGCACCTCGGCCGCTTCCGAGCTCGCCGGCGCCCATGCTGGGCTCCCTATGACGCGAGGTCGCCGGGCGGACAGCGTGGCATGAGCCAGGAGCCCAGGCCAAGGTAAGGTGTGCGCGCGGGGCCAGGCTGCGAGGCGGGGAGGGGTCCAGGCCAAGCCACGACTGTGGCCACAATGAGGAGGGGACAGCGTGGGGGCTTAGGACCTCACAGCCGCCGCCGTCGCCAGGAAAAGGCTTACGTAACGGCAGCCCCTTCCCCACTGCACCCCGCAGCCGCTGGGCCTTCAGCCCTACCAGGCCCTCCGTAGCACCTCGCCCCAGAAGCCCGCCTGATCAAGGCCCGCTCCCCAATGGCAACGCGGTCAGAGCTGTGGATCAGTGCTACTGGAGCCGCCAAGAGGAAGCTCCATGCCCCCGCCCCAGGACACAAAATTGCAGGTCCCCAGCCCCCACGCTTCCTGGCTGGGTTTTGGACTCTGGGCCCCCTGCTCCAGTGTCCTTAGCCCCTGAGTCTAGTGACAGGTGTTCAATGTAATTAAACTCCAGGAGGAACCATGTGGGTATGTGGCCTGGGGGCTGGTCCCCTCCTGGATACCTTCCACTGACATGGACCTGTATGGAGCTGCCACCCATGATGTGGGGTGGCAGAAGGAGAAGAGGGAGTGGGCTGGCATGTCCCTGGTTTGGGAAGGCCTATTAGGCCTTAGCCAAGGCTGAAGGGCCTTAGATGGGAAACTGGGCACAGGGATCCCATGCCCTCCTGGAGGTTTGGGTGGGTGGGGAAGGCTTCCCACTCACCATCCCAGGAGAAGCCTGACTGTTAGAGCTTCAGAACCCATGGCCCAGCAGTCACTCCTCCGGCCCCTCCTGGCTCCGAGCAGGCAGATTGACCTCTGCAGGAGGACCAGATGGCAGATACCACTTCACCTGCCTCCCTCCCTCAGGCCCCTAGTCCATAGCCATGTTGTCTCTGGTCAGTAGGCAGCTCAAACCTCCATGGTGCTTACTGGACACAGGGCCCTCTCTCCCAGCCGCCCCTCCAATAAAATGCTGGACAGCAGCCTCAGAGCTGAAGGCCTGGGCTGGGCAGAGAGCCTGAAGCTTTGGGGCTGCCCAGGCCAGGGACTGGATGAGGAGCCATCAGGAAGGAAGGGACATTCAAAGGCCAGCTGTAAACGTGGGCAGTGCATGGGGATGCCAGGACTTAACTGGCATTGTTCCTATCACTTCCACTACCTTCTTCTCAACCACTGCTTACCTTGCGCCCAGCCTATCAGCTGAACACCCCACCACAGGGGATGTTCAGGGAGCAGGCCCACCCCTCCAGCCTACACCCACTTTCAAGGTACTGAACAAGTTCTATTCTCCATTGATGAGAGGAAAACAAGTCCCTAGGTAGGAGGGACCTAGGCCCAGGAAACCCTGAACTGCTGAGATGTAGGCACACCCCTACATTCCAGGGTGGAAGAGGGGCTATTCCTCTGGCATGCACTGACTGCTTGCAGAACCTGTCTCCTCCCCTGTGCTATGCCTCCAAGGCTGGTGCAGGGGGGAAGGTAGGGAGGGCAGCAATGGAAGCTCTAGGGGACTAGTGGATAGCCCAGAGCCTTCCCACCAGTAAGTAGTCCAGTAGGAACCAGTGGCTGCACCCACTGCAGAGGGTGCATGCAGACTATGTCTTTTCATTTGGCAAGCACCCAAAGCAGTAGGTACTAGGGGAACTATCCTAAGCCTTGGATGCTCATATTCTTTAGAGCAGGGGAGCCAGATGAGCCTGAATCCAAGGTCCACTCCTTAGCCCTGCATGACTGAGCTGCCCTGGACTTGATCACAGGGCCTCAGTATGCTGGAGCATCTACATAGGTCTGTCTCAAGGCCCATGTGCACCCTGGGCTAAAAGTCTTGTGCACTCCAGAAGCATCTCCAACTGAGGGTGGAAGGTGCTCCCCTCCCACCCTCAACTGGAGACACGTGCAGTGGCAGGGATGTGCCTGAGTCACGGGGTTGTCATGGAACGTGTCAGCCTGCACCGTGCCCCCAATCCCAACTACTGTGGTTGTCACCCTGGTCCATGGGGGCTGCCACTGCAGACAGCCTGATGTGAGTTTTTGGTTACTCATGCCTTGCCTAGCTCCCAGGTCCTCAGCAGGCAGAAGGAGCTGCTCAGTACAACTTCTCTGGAAGTCACACCTCCCAGAATCCAAGACAGGTTATATCCTGACCTGGTGCTCAGAGATGGGGCTATCAGAGATGGGAGAAGAAAAAAAAAAAGAGATGGGAGAAGAGTCCCCAAAACTGGGGGAGATAAGAGGCAAGGATGTTGGTGGGCATGCAGATTGCAGCCTCTGGAAAGAGAGCAAGAGGACAGTAGGAATCCTGCTGGGTGAGGCTGAGAGAGACCACTAGCCTGAATCCCAGCAGAACACAGAGAACCCCACGAAGCAGAAGAGGACAGAGCAAGGAGCCATGGATGTGCACCTATGCAGGGGCACTGGGGAGCAGATAGCCTAGAGGTCTTGGGTTAATCACAGCTTTCACAGCTTCTGAAAAATCGCCCTCTGAGCTTTGCTTTCCCAACCCCTGGTCAGGTGGTATGGGAAGAGCTCAGGCCAGCAATGGGAAAGAACTAGGCAGAATTTCCCTTGTCCCTCTCTCCTGGAGGCACCTGCTCTCTTCCCTAGGGTCAGGCCAGATTATGGGGGATGGACAGCCAGTGTCTTTATCCCCATAGCTCCAGAAGGGGGACTTAGCAGAAAAATAGATGCAAGGTGTCTTCTTTCCCCAGGTTCTGCGTATTCCAAGGCCTATCTTAAATCCCCAGGGTCTTGGGAGTCTTCCCAGCGACCACAGTACCAACTCAGTCCCAACCCCAGTGGCCTCTCTTCCCTATGAACACTGATCCCTATCACAACTGTGATTAAGTTCTTGATAGCCTGCCTCCCCTCTCAGTCAGCCTCCTGTTCTCCCTTGAGCCTCTCGGACCTCTGTACAGCCTTGCTAACTGGGCTGCCATTTCTCACCTATACGTGCTGTCTGTTCTCAAGAAGTCCTCAAACCAGCAAAGAGGTGGATAGTGATGACAGCCCAGGAAGTGGGTGAGACCCTGGAGATGCCCAGTCACGGAGGCAGGAGTGGGGCTCACACCTGCAGCTGGAGTAGAGGAATGGGGGACTGGCTGGGCCAGGTGTGAGGGCTGGAGGGGAGGCTCTGAGGCCTACCTGGGTCTTAGGGCCCAATGACCTGGTAGGCAGAAGAGGTAGCTCCTTGTAGGGCTCCAATATGGCCATCTGTGAATCATAAAACTGCCCAGAGCTGGAGTCCTCTTGGGAGCCCGCAGTGCCCACTGCACTCCTTTAGCTCCTGATGTGACTCTGAGGAGAACAGAGTCCAGTCATCACTCCCCAGGAGCACCCTGATCTGACCCTGGCTTGGGCTCACAAGTTCAGGAGAATAACCACTGCTTCCCTTTCCCCCAGTAGCCCCTCCACAGCCTATTCCAACAGGGAACCTCCCCAGAATTCCACTCTTAACTGACCAGAACACACCAGGACTGCAGTTGTCATGCAAGCTTGGTTGACGTTTTCAAAGCCTCTCTTCCCAGGGTCAGCTCCTAAGGTGCTTGTCCCTAAGGAAGAACCAGCCCTGAACAGCCTGACAGCTGTGCCTGCACTCCTAGCAGGAAGCTCCAGGCAAGCTCTCAGAGCCACCCTGTTGGAGAGCAGCTGCAGTGCCAAGGCAGGGGGAGAGGGCCTTTGGTCACCATCCAGCAGAGTGGCAGGGACAGGCAGAGGGGCCCTTCTTAGAACCCTCCAGGGACCTCTTATCTAACTGGCAGGAAGGCCCCAGTCTCCCAACGTGAGCTCCGCCTTTTCCCAAGGCCTCAGCCCATGGACCCAGGTGTGGTGGAGGCTTCTAGGGCTGGGTTAGTCAGGCCAGGAATGTGAGCAGCCAGAGCCCCCATAGAAAGTGGGCACAAAGTTGGGGAGTGGTGCGCTGTGGTGCAGTTCCAAGCCAGGGCAGAAGGCCTTGGATGGGAGTGTGGGTTGAGGGTCAGTCAGAAGCCATCCTCAGCCTGTTCCTCCCTCCACAGACGCTCAGACCACCTTGTTTTCACTAGCTCTACCCTGAGGCCTGAAGGTAGGGATGGGACTTGAGCTCCTGCACATGTGAGCTCCCATGGAGGGACCGCAAGGAGTCCCGCAGATGCCCGGGGCACCCACGTGCGTCCCCCCAATTTGGGTGCTCCACGTGCACACCCGCGGCTGGGAGCATTTTCAGGCTAAATCCGCACAGCTCTTGGAATATTTCTTCCTTGGTGCCGCCTCCGCGCCTCCTCCGGATCCTAGCCGAGCAGGCCGCTTCTCCCCCCGCCCCCCTCCGCCTCTGGGGGCCCCTCCCTGGTGAGCTAGGTTTGCCAGGCTTTGGGTTTATCGGAACCTCCCCCTCAACGCCGTCCTCCTCTGTCAGCGGTGCGGTCGGCCGGCCTGACCCCCGGGAGCATGCACGGCCGCTGTCCATGGTGCTACAGGCTGGGCGCTGAAACTGGTCCGCGGGAAAGGGTGGAGTCCGGGTGGGTGGGGCATTCTGGACGTGGAAACCAGGGCGCCCTGGGTCTAGGGAGCAGGGGGCCCATTCTGGGGACATGACATATATTCAGCCGGGGGCTGCCTCTCCATTCTCTGTACAACTTCCAGAACGGCCTTGCTGGGGCAGGAGTGGAGGCGGTCGCGGGCCTCACCCTGGTCCTTAGGGGGTGCTGCTGTCCTACCGTGGTCCACATTTCCCTGTACTGACACTGGAGTAGCTCTGTGTTAGGCCTCCTCCACAACTGTGATGACACTGTGACTCACCAGCACCTCAAGTTCCTTATCTGAAAACTGGGGTACCAATAATGGCCACCCCCCCACCTCCCTCTGCCTCCCACGGTGGTTCCTGTTCTCTTGGAAACTGTGGGGGATAGACAGACAGCGTCCTCAGTCCTGCAGCTCTAGATGGAAGATGGCCAAAAGGGGGACAGGAACTGTTCTCTTCCTGAGGGTCTGCATATTGTATCCACCCCAAGCCTTGGGAAGTCCTTAGGATTCTTCTCAGACACTACTATCGTGGTTCTGTGAGACTTCTGTGAGGTGATGGCCCATCTTCATCAGGCAGGAGGAGAAGGGAGAACTGGAGCAGCTCCTGCCCTTCCTCTGAGACTGTGGGGAAAGAAGATGGGGACCTGCATGTAGGTTCCTGCTTGGTCCCGGGGTCACCTACAGACCCAAGAAGGTAGATCATGCATTGCTTTTGGTTCTGCCCTGAGGCCCAAAAGCTAACTCCAGGTCGCTGTCCAAGATTTACTGGGCACCATTCAGGGGTTGAAGTGAGGAAATGGAGGCTCTGAAAAGGCCAGTGGCTAGCTGAGACCACAATTCAAAGTGGGGCCTGTTTGGGGTCCAGGGTATGGGACCTCAAGTGTGTACCAGTGAGACCTCTGGGTGTTCTGCTTCCTCAATGGATGTTGGATGGGGGTGAGCAGGAGCAGATGATGGCACTGTGAGTCTCACTGTTTCCTCCCACCATAGCTTTCTGTGCTGTGTCTTGTGCCACCCAGTTATAGCCCTGAGGGCCTGAGGAGGGGAGCTGGACTAGGTGTGGCCTTACTCTCATCCTGTGGGCAATGACCCTGGCCTGAGAAGAGTCTTCCTTGGGACTCTCATCAGCCAGCTGTGGTCCAAACTTTGACTCCATCATTTAACTGATCATAGCCTCAGACAAGCAATTCACCTAACCTTGGCCTTGTCTTCCTCATCCATACAATGTATACAGTCACCACAGCACTATCCTCATCAGCATAGGTGAAGAATTATAGAAAAAGCATGTGTTGGACTGGGATGTAGCTCAGTGACACAATGTTAACCTTGCATTCCCAGAGCCCTGGGTTCGACCCCCAGTTCCAATAAATAAATAAATAGTGTGTCCAGGGCTCACCATGCTGGGGAAAGCAGCTTCTCTCTCTCTGTCTCTGGGCAGACCCTGAGGCTCAGAAGGGTACAAGAGGCCCTTCAGAGAGCTGTGCTGGCATCCTGTAGAGGTGGGTTGCCAGAGACTGCCCCAAACTCTATCCTCAGTTTCTCAGTCCCTGACCAGTAGAGTTAGGGTCCTGGTGATAGGCAGAGGAACACAAGTGAAGGGAGTGGTCAGGGACTTCATCTCTCCACCTCCATTCTCTCATGTGTGAAATGGGAATAAGCATCCAAGAGTACCATGAGCAGAGCATGTTGAGTTAGTGCACACAGTAGGTGCTAAATGAGTACAGAGATCATTGCCTCCCCTTGCTGCACTCAACCAGGGAAGTACACACTTAGAGCTTGGTTCTAGGAGTACCATGGTGGGGGGCACCCAGGGATGGGAAGGAGCAGGCTTCCTCAGCCTTCCCAGAGACTATCAGACTCACTTGCCCCTCTTGGCCTGTCTGCAGAACATTCGAGGAAGATGTCGAGCCCTGGTATCAACGGCGACCCCAAACCTCCATGCTTGCCTCGAAATGGCCTGGTAAAGCTGCCGGGCCAGCCCAATGGCCTGGGAGCAGCCAGCATCACCAAGGGCACTCCTGCTGCCAAGAACCGTCCCTGCCAGCCACCGCCCCCACCCACCCTTCCACCTCCCAGCTTGGCCTCCCCGTTGTCCCGGGGCACACTTGCTGGGGGCCCCTGCCCCCTGGCAGGTGGACCAGCCTCAGCCTCGGTGCCTGGACCCCCAGCAGAGCGGCCGCCACTGGCCACAGATGAGAAGATCCTCAACGGCCTCTTCTGGTACTTCTCAGCATGCGAGAAGTGCGTGCTAGCCCAGGTGTGCAAGGCCTGGCGGCGTGTGCTCTACCAGCCCAAGTTCTGGGCAGGCCTCACACCTGTACTGCACGCCAAGGAGCTCTACAACGTGCTGCCTAGTGGTGAGAAGGAGTTCGTGAACCTGCAGGGCTTCGCTGCACGTGGCTTTGAGGGCTTCTGCCTGGTTGGGGTCTCTGACCTGGACATCTGTGAGTTCATCGACAACTATGCGCTCTCCAAGAAGGGGGTCAAGGCCATGAGCCTCAAGCGCTCCACCATCACGGATGCTGGCCTAGAGGTGTGCCCCCAAAGTGGTCCAGGTGGCAGGGACAGGCAGCAGAGCTGTATGGGTGTGGAAGGGTATGGAGCACAGAGGAAGCTTAGCACAACAGAGAACAAAGAAGCATATCATTGCCCTAAGGAGGAGCACTGCCAGGGGTCAGGGAGGACTGGCTACATAGTTTGTGGGACCTGATGCAAAGTGAAAATGTGGATGCTTATTCAGAGATGATTAAGAATCTCAAGATGAGCTAGGTGAGGTGGTGTATGCCTATAATCCCAGCAGCTCAAGAGGCTGAGGCAGGAGGATCACAAGTTCAAAGCCAGCCTCAGCAATTTAGTGAGGCCCCTAAGCAATTTTGCAAAACTTTGTCTTGAAATAAAAAATAGAAGGGGCTGGCTCAGTGGTTAAGTGCCCCTGGGTTTAATCCCTGGTACCAAAAAAAGAAAAAAAGAATTTCAAGGGGGCAACAGCAGAGCAATTAAGTATGAGACTGAGAAGGAAAGTCACTTTTCACTGGCCTTGGGTGGGTAGGATGCTGGAGGGAGGTGAAAGGTAGTTGAGGAAGGGTCTCCTATTAGCAAAGGTCAGAGGAGCAGTGAACAACCTGCCCAGTCCCCACTATCTGGACTATACCAACTGATCTGAGCACCTACTCTGGTAAAGCCATGGCTCCTGGGGCCCCTGTGCCATGCCCCTCTTTGGAATGTTGTTGAGGTGTTACACTATAAGTGCAGTCCTCAGAGTTCAACATACTTGCACAAGTCCACACCCAAGAGACTACTGCTTCCTGGCTCCCAGCAGCTCATTCCAACCCATCTCAGGCAATCCTCACCACACCCTGAGGGAGGAGCCTACTGGGGAGGGTTGGGGAGCAGAGCCAGGCATGGCCCTGACCTGTGCTGCCCACAGGTGATGCTGGAGCAGATGCAGGGCGTGGTGCGCCTGGAGCTGTCGGGCTGCAACGACTTCACTGAGGCAGGGCTGTGGTCCAGCCTCAGTGCGCGGATCACCTCGCTGAGCGTGAGCGACTGCATCAATGTGGCCGACGACGCCATCGCGGCCATCTCGCAGCTGCTGCCTAACCTGGCGGAGCTGAGCCTGCAGGCCTACCACGTGACGGACACGGCGCTGGCCTACTTCACGGCGCGGCAGGGTCACAGCACGCACACGCTGCGTCTGCTCTCTTGCTGGGAAATCACTAACCACGGCGTGGTCAACGTGGTGCACAGCCTGCCCAACCTCACAGCACTCAGCCTCTCAGGCTGTTCAAAGGTCACCGATGATGGTGTTGAGCTCGTAGCGGAGAACCTACGCAAGCTGCGCAGCCTCGACCTGTCGTGGTGCCCTCGCATCACAGACATGGCACTAGAGTATGTAGCCTGCGACCTGCACCGCCTGGAGGAGCTTGTGCTGGACAGGTGCGCATGTCCCCGCACCCACTGCAGGGTCACCATGTACCAGAAGCCTAGAGTGGGTGGGTCTGAGTCCATGGGCTTCTGGTGTGGGTGAGGCTGCTGAGGGGACAGACAGTGACAGATTATGGTGTAGTGGGCAGCACCAGCGAGAGCAAAGTGCCAATAGTCGGGGGAACTACAGCAATGTTTGGTTGAACCCAAATCCTTCCCAGAAGCTGGTGCTAGGACGTGCGGGGGCGGGGTATTGAAGAGGGGTGGGCTACAGGATGGTGGGGCCATCATGGGTGAGGTGGGGGTTTGCGCTAGGGACAAGGTGGGGTAGGGGGTAGGGCGCAGCAGTTTAGGGGGCGGGTGAAGTGATTTGAAGGTGGGCAGTCCCCCTCTGGTGCCACCACAGGTGTGTACGCATCACGGACACTGGCCTCAGCTATTTGTCCACCATGTCATCCCTCCGCAGCCTCTACCTGCGATGGTGCTGCCAGGTACTGGACCTTCATGCCTTCTGTGATAGGGGGATAGGCGGGCGTGGTGGGGGGTGAGGGGAAAGCACCAGTCCAGCCTGCTTACCTTTTTCCGGCCCCACTCAGATCCCACAGGGGTCTAAGATCCATCTGTACCCATTAGCGAACCTAGACAGAACAGGTGGGGACCCCAGGGTCCTCAACAGCACTTCCCAGCCTCTGGCTGGTGGGAGGGGGGGCGTTGAGAAACCTCCATCTTGAACCCTGCCTCCAGCAACTCCTGAGGCTCCAGGTTCAGTTAACTTGCCCTCTCCCACTTTTGCCCAGGTGCAGGACTTCGGGCTGAAGCACCTCCTGGCTATGAGGAGTTTGCGTCTCTTGTCTGTGGCAGGTGAGACCCTCCCTCCCCTGCATGCCTCCCAGGCAGGGTCCACTACACTCATCTAGTCCTCCCTTGTGCGGATTCACACCTGACTTTGGCTGGCTGAGTTGCAGGTTCAAGTTAGGAGAGGGGCAAGCTGTAGTCCATCTCAGGCATCGCCGGGCTCCTCCCAGAGCCACTCGGCCGAAGGAGGCCCCTGCCACTCAGCAAGGACCTAAGAGCCCAGCATGGGCCTCTCCCACTCAGCTCAAGGCCCATCCACAGAGTGCTGGCCCGCGGGGTCCCAGTTTTCTGTCTGGCAAAGCTGAGCCCCACCATTGTTTCCACTGGTTTGATTCAGGCTGCCCACTGCTGACCACCACAGGGCTGTCGGGCTTGGTGCAGCTGCAGGAGCTGGAGGAGCTGGAGCTGACCAACTGCCCGGGAGCCACACCTGAGCTCTTCAAGTACTTCTCGCAGCACCTGCCCCGCTGCCTAGTCATCGAGTAGCGCTGGGCTCCCACCCAGGCCTTGGGAACCCGCCACGCTCTGGGCGGGGCGAGGGGCTCTTCCAGGCCCCTCAGTGGACCTTGCCCAGCAGCCGCGTATGATCCCACGCGGGAGGCGGGACGAGTTGAGGACAGCCCCGCCCCGCGCCGCCCTCGGCCCCCTCCGCTCCTCTTTCTGTCCGCCCCGGGCAGGGGACGACCGGGCCAGCCCCACGCACGCACGCACACTCGGGGACTTTGTGCATGCCCCTCGTGCCCGCACTGCACGCCCGCCCTCCACCACGCCACAGCCGCCGCCATCACTCGCCCGCCCCGCTGCGGGGCTCGGTCCCTGGGGGGCACTCTGAGCCCACCCGCCCCCCTCCCCCCCGCTGCCTTCCCTGCCACACCCCGCTCTCTGCCTCCCTGCTGTCCCCCATCCCGGGCAGGGCCCAGAGGATTGGGGGGCTGGGTCCCCCAGGACTTAGGGGCCCGGAAGAGCCTCAAGGACCTTCAACATCTTCCACTGCACGGCGCCTGGAGCCCTCTCTCTTAGGGGCGAGGGGACTCAGGCCACTGCCAAAGCCATGGCCCGATGAGGAGCCCAACTCCAAGCCCCTCCTCCTCCCCCATGCCTGCCCAACACAAGGGGCCTTTTTCCCTTACTGTTGAGTGGGCAGTCCCTGTTGGCTTCCCCTCCTACTCCCCCCCCGCCCCCAACCCCACCGCCGCCCACACTGGCCTTTTACAGATCCTTGGCCCCTGGCCCCTAGGATAGCATTGAGATGGCTATGACCTTGGAATAATCAACATTAGCCCAACCTAGTGCAGCCCACCTCAGTCCAGGAGCGGTACAGGCACCTAGAGAGACCCTAAGTTGGAGTCATCCTTAGGGTTGTCGGGCTTGGGAGCAGTCTTGCCCAGCCACAGCCCTGCGCCAGTGGGGCTCAGGCCTGTCAGCACCGCGATTCATCCTGGGCAAGTTTGTGCAGAAGCGGGCCCAGACAAGGGGTCAGGATCAGCACTGACCAGCGACTCTGATCTTCCAGTGGCCAGCACACCATCCACACTCTGCAAGGAGGGAGGGCTCCATTCTAGCCCCACCCTATTTGCCCCTCCCCAGTTTCCCAAACCTCTGCCTGCCCAAATGGGCTCCAACCGTGTCCCGTGTCCTGTCTGATCCCAAGAAGTTTGGAAGTTCTGGGGGATGCTGGCATATCTTGACACTGCTGAGGAGGGGGCTGGGACCCCTTTCCATCCCAACCTTGATCCCCAGATTTAGCATCCACACCAATCTTGGGACACCCCTATTTGGTTGGAAGGGAGTAACCAGTTTCCAGAGAGCCAGAGAGTGAAAGAGCGAGAGAAAGAGAGCGAGTGAGAGAGAGAGATGCTGTTGAAGCAGAGAAACAGTTCAACAGCCCAAAGAGTTCCCTGCCCCCGAGTGCCGAGGAGGCTCCATGTGGAAGTGGTCAGGAGCCAGTTTCTTCAGGCCCTCCTCCCATAGCCCCCCCAGTAGGGAGGGGGCAGCTGTCCATTTGCCCAAAGTATTAATGCAACTGAAGCTGTGATATTTCCAACGACTGTAGGAGGAAAATTTAAGGGGAGAAAGGAAAACAAACAAAACCAACCAACCCCTAAAATCATTTTCTTATTGTACATAACGACCTCATTCTCCTGTATATGCGGAAGATATAACCTTATATTTGGTAAGTGTTTCTTGTGCTATTTTATCACGTGACCTGTTTATAAAAATATATATTAAAAAAGTTGTAAAAATATGAGTCTGGGTTGTGTTCAGGTCACCACATGATAGTGCAGGAGGTTGTATCTGCTGTGGGTGGTCCTGGTCTCTAGACTCTCAAGCACCTCTGGATTCATCAGATGTTTGTCTTTACAACAAATATGTAGAGGCTGCATGCCCCTGCCAAGAATAAAAACTCGGCAGTGATAAGCACAGAAGTTCCCTAACCCTCTACTGCATACAGGCAGGGATGGCACTAAAATCATTACCATAATATTCCCACAAAAATATTTAGGGTTAGCAGGGTGCATTGGCCCATGGCCTCGAATACCAGCAGCTCCCAAGAGGCTGAGGCAGGAGCACTGCAAATTTGAGGCCAGTCTTGGCAACTTTTTTTTTTCCTGTCTCAAAAGGAAAAAAAAAAAAAAAAGGCTGGGGATATAGCTCAGTGGTTGAGCACCTGGGTTCAATCATCAGTAATACAAGGGGAAAAAAAGTAAGTATCTAGGATCTAGCCCACCACCTGTCCAGAAAGGCAGAAATGAACCTTTTGTCCTGTGCACAGGATAGCTGAGATTAAGCAGGGGAGAGGATGTCTCAAGAGATGGCACTGTGAATTGGCAAGTTAATTTACTCCCAGAAGAGTAAAGGAGGCTGCAGGTGAACAGGGCCACCAACTGAATGGGCAATGTCAGGCCCTGGGAGATGGAATCCCTCTGTGGTGGCCCTCACACCTCTGTGTGACAGACAACTACCAGTGAACAAAGGAGCAGGCTGTGACAAGCGCTGGGGAGGCGACTGTGACTGGTCAGGCCCCGTTTGATATGGTGCTAGAGAAGGCAGAGGCTGAGCATTGAAGGATGAGAAGGGCGGAGCTGGCGCTCTGTTAACTGGACGTGGGCGCCTGGAAGGGGACCGCGCGGCACTGCTGCGGAGTCCGGAGTCTGAGGTTTATTGGCAGTGCGGTAGGAGGCCCCAGGAAAAAGAGGGACCGGACTGCGGCGCGGGGTTCAGACGGGAACCCGGACAGGCGGGGATACTGCTCCCGCGAGCTGAGGGAGGGAGGAGGGTGGAGGAGCCCGGCATGACAGACTCCGCTGAAGAACCTGAGCAGAGAAATACGCACCGCTATTACAGTACTGAGATTGAAATAAGAAACACGCCTGCCACTCCAGCGACGCCGAAGGCTGAGGCAGGAGGGTCGCAAGTTCAAGGCTCCAACCCCGGCCGCTTAGCAATACCCTGTTTCAAAATTTTAAAAAAGAGGGGGCGCTGGGGATGAAGCGTAGAGGAAGAGAGCCCCTGGGTTCAATCCCCATTACCGCAAGAGAAAAACGAATTAAGAAATACAGGAACAACTATCGAGGTGGAACCGGAGAGCCCGCAGGCCCGTGTCTGGGCTGCTCCGGGACCCTCCACCCGTACTGCGCCCTGACCCGGAACTATTATGGTGCGGGCGAGGGTTCCTGCCCGCTTCCGGCGAGGGGCGAGTAAATAACGGACCACTTCCGGCAAGGGGCGTGATGGAGACGGATGGGTTCCCCACGCCACGGTGTGCTGCCGGTACATGACTGGAGTGCTGAGGGGAAGGCCACCGGCCTTGAGCAGCTCTGTTCCCTGGGCCCCTTCAGCCCTCTGCCTCCTCCCCTCGTTTGCGCCTCTCCGGAGCCCCGCTGCCTCGGACGCCCCGGGCTGACGGGTGTGGACGGCGGGAGCCACTTGGCTCCCCTGCTGAAATCGACTGACCTGCGGTCCAATGGCGCAATCACGGGAGGTGGCTGTTGGAGAGATGAGTGCCTTTGGCCAGAACCAGCCATGTAAGGTCTTCTGGGGAGGTCAGACGTGGGACTAACCAGGCTTAGGGCAGCAGCGGAGTCTTCTGGCAGATTCTGGTGGTTTGGAATTCCCCTGTGATGTTGACTAGCTGATGGACTGCCTTGGTCTAGACAGCAAGTTTGACCAGCCCAGGCAAAGCAGTGAAAGGTCTGAACTGATTCGACAGACACCAGACTGACTAGACCAGCCTTCTTCACTGATCTCCTGACCCGACCACCAGTCTAGCCATGGAGAAGATGTCCCGTGTGACAACAGCCCTAGGTGGCAGTGCACTGACAGGCCGCACCATGAACTGCCACTTGGATGCTCCAGCCAATGCCATCAGCGTCTGCCGTGATGCAGCCCAAGTAGTCGTGGCAGGCCGCAGCATCTTCAAGATCTACGCAATAGAGGAGGAACAGTTTGTAGAAAAGCTGAACCTCCGTGTGGGCCGCAAGCCCTCACTCAACCTGAGCTGTGCTGATGTGGTCTGGCACCAGATGGATGAGAACCTGCTAGCCACAGCAGCCACAAATGGTGTGGTGGTCACATGGAACCTGGGTCGGCCATCCCGCAACAAGCAGGACCAGCTGTTCACAGAACACAAGCGCACAGTGAACAAAGTCTGCTTCCACCCCACTGAAGCCCATGTGCTGCTCAGCGGCTCCCAGGATGGCTTCATGAAGTGCTTTGACCTCCGAAGGAAGGACTCTGTCAGCACCTTCTCGGGTGAGGCCCACAGAGGCAGGTCAGGGCAGGTGTGTGACTCTGCAGGTACCTGTCTAGGCAAGCTAAGAAGTGCTTTGTGCACCAGAGGCTCTCAGATGCACTCCTGGAAATAAGCCAGAAGTAGAAGAGTGGATGGGGGCAGGCCTGGGTGAGGTGTGAGCCAGAGCATCAATAGTGGGGAAGAGGCAAGAGGCAGGACTACCAGGAATTGAGGCTGGGTGTGGCATGAGAGAGGGCATAGCCCCACAGACTCAGCCCACCTCCAGGTTACCTCATTGCAGGATGTCTACCAGAACCTCCAAGGTTCCCAGCACAGGGATGTGGAGGAGGTGAAGTACACTGTCTAGTCCTTGCAGGGCCATCCCTGAGCCTGCTATCACTTGTCCACCTTGATGAGACCAGGTGAAGCACAAGGCAGAGCCCTGGGGCCTTGGAGAATTTGTGGGCTTCTTAAGACAGATCATGAGCTATCTGTGTCAGAAAAAGGCTGAACACTGCCCTCCCAGGCTCTTGGTGTGGTGGATTTGTAGGGCAGATGTGGTCCCTTGTCCTCTAGTCCTTTGGGCTGTCCAGGCAGCTCCAGCCCTAGGTAAAAAGGTTGGACTCCTTGGTTCTCCTACAAGCCATGGCATCCAGGGGAGTTGAGCAGATAGCCAGGTGGAGTTTCTGTTCTCCAGTACTCTGAAACTCAGTTTTACCAAGGACTAATGCAACATGCAGATTCCAGGGGAAATAGGCCTGGGAGTTTGTGCAAAAAACCCACCCTAGGAAGACCCTGGGGGCAGTCCTTTCTGCACTCTTGGCCATCTGGCCAGAGGCAGGTGTGTGACACCATCCCACAGCCACTCCAAGTGCTGCCCCACACACACACCATGGGCCAGCTCCCTCACCTCTGCTTCCAATGATGCCCTGCCTGCAGGCCAGTCTGAGAGTGTACGGGATGTCCAATTCAGCATCCGAGACTACTTTACTTTTGCCTCCACCTTTGAGAATGGCAATGTGCAGCTCTGGGACATCCGCCGTCCTGACCGATGTGAGAGAATGTTCACAGCTCACAATGGGCCTGTCTTCTGCTGTGACTGGCACCCCGAGGACAGGTGTGGTCTGGGCTGCAGGGACCACAGGGCTGAAGGCCTGTGAGAAAGTGGGGAGTGGCAGGGCTTGGGGGGGTCCCTTCTCTCTTAGGAGAAGTCACTGAGGGTTTGGGGGCCTTCCTACAGGGGCTGGCTGGCCACAGGTGGGCGTGACAAGATGGTGAAGGTCTGGGACATGACCACGCCTCGTGCCAAGGAGATGCACTGCGTGCAGACCATCGCCTCTGTGGCCCGAGTCAAGTGGCGGCCCGAGTGCCGCCACCACCTGGCTACGTGCTCCATGATGGTAGATCACAACATCTACGTGTGGGATGTGCGCCGGCCCTTTGTGCCAGCTGCTATGTTCGAGGAGCACCGTGATGTCACCACAGGCATTGCTTGGCGCCACCCACACGACCCCTGCTTTCTGCTCTCAGGCTCCAAGGACAGCACGCTGTGCCAGCATCTGTTCCGTGATGCCAGCCAGCCCGTGGAGCGTGCCAACCCTGAGGGCCTGTGCTATGGCCTCTTCGGGGATGTGGCCTTTGCAGCCAAGGAAAGCTTAGTGGCTGCTGAGTCTGGACGCAAGCCCTATGCTGGCGACCGGCGCCACCCCATCTTCTTCAAGCGCAAGTTGGACCCTGCTGAGCCCTTTTCTGGCCTTGCTTCTAGTGCTCTCAGTGTCTTTGAGACAGAGTCTGGTGGTGGCAGCATGAGTTGGTTTGTGGACACAGCTGAGCGTTATGTTCTGGCTGGCCGGCCATTGGCCGAGCTCTGTGACCACAATGCAAAGGTGGCTCGGGAGCTAGGCCGTAACCAGGTAGGTGGGGCTGGGCTGCGGGGAAGTGGGGGTGCAGGGGTGCAGGGGCCATGACTTTGGGGTAGGGATCGGCTGCTCTGCCAGCTGCATCCCCATCCCAAGATCAGCACCAACCCTTGTCTTAGTAACAGGGTGTCAAGATCACATAGGCAGAGTGGACCAGATCCTGGGGCTGCCCTCTTGGAGGTAGAGGTCTAAGGAGTCACAGTTGATGCTGTCACCATTTGGGCATGTGCTCCATGCCTTCCTCTTGGTGCTGCACCTCTTAACAGCACCTAGCCCTCCTGAAGAGAGTGCCTGCTCTGTGCCAGTCTCTCACCCTTGGGTCACTCTGCTCATCTTCACATTGGCTGCCTCCTGGTTTTGCTTCTTCTGCTTCCCATGGGCTACATTTTCCCCAGTATGGTTGGGGCAGGATATTGGGATATTGGTGTGATTCTATTCAGGCAGGGGGTGGTGTGTGCCTGGGGTGTTGGGTGCCCAGGACCCTCTGAGTGGCTGGTGCTTGCCCCTAGGTGGCGCAGACATGGACCATGCTGCGGATCATCTACTGCAGTCCTGGTCTTGTGCCGTCTGCCAGCCTTAACCACAGTGTGGGTAAAG